GCCAAGGAGACCGCGACCCCCAGCGCCAGGAAGGAGTCTCCTGAGAAGAAGAAGCGTACCTCTGCCCGGAAAGAGAAGGAGAAGGAAGATGAGCAACCCCCTGCCTCCGCTCGCAAGACTGCGAGCGCCGAAGCCAAGCGCACCAAGAAGAAGCGCAAGAGCGAGGTTGGCAATGAGGAGTAAGTTCGGTCCCGAGGGATCTGTTTATACCGGGACGATGATCATGTACATGGGATGGATGTTTGATCTGAATGCTGCATGTAGCATATGGGGATTGGATCTATTTCTGGATTGATGCGCTTTCTTATGGAATGCTGTTGCTGCTGGGTTTGTTTTGCGGGCCTGATGTCAACGGCGTCTGCGGATTGACGGTGTGGGGTTATCAGTGGGTGTGTCTGTCTTGTTCTTGTTCTTTCCCTTTCAGTTTTCAACATATTTTTTTCTCATGATTTTTTTCTCTATTTCTGTTAGCTTTGAGAATTTATAAGAGCTTCTTATGAACGTGATAAATGTCAATGGCCGGTGACTGCCGATGGAATCCACAGTTTTGACTGGAAAGCGTTAGTCACTCGGCAGACGCGCCGCTGCGATAGGTCATCCGCTGGCTTATCAGCTCCAGCTTCGACTTTCCTTGCCCGCCGCTTATCGGCAGCTCATCTTTCGTTCCCCACATTATTTCTCGTTCTTAACCTGGAATTTCCCCCCCGTGGTGGTCCATCTGCGTAGAGTCCCCAGTCGACAGCTCTCGCCCTCTCTCTTGTACCCACGGGGTAATTTCTTGGCTACTGTCCGTCTCGCCATTCTGTCGCCGTGAAGGGGCGCTGCGACTATATTAGGTAGACAGACAAAGAACCCGCTGCCCGCCGCTGTCAACCATGCATTTGGTACCAAAGGAGGTCTGTGCCCATCTCACCTCCTCCCAAAGTCTATACCCAAGCTGACCAGTATCGTGCCTCTCTAGCTTGACAAGCTCGTCATTTCCCAATTGGGATTCCTGGCCCAGCGCCGTCTCGCACGTGGTGTGCGACTCAACCATGCGGAAGCTTCGGTACGTTGCAAAAAAAAAATTCCCTTGTGCAGAGTTGACCCTCGATTGACGAGGAGCAGCGGCTAACCGCGTACCTTTAGGCCTTGATTTCATCCAACCTGCAGGAGGTAACTCATTCTCTTGAGGCTTGCTACCTTTCCCGTGACTTACCCTCATGCTTGCGTAGTTGATCCGTGATGGACAGTATTCCGTGGCCGATCTCATGTCCATCGGCAAGACAATGCTGGGTCGCCGGCACGTCCTCCCCTCGGTTGTCTCGACCCTGGTCGAACTGCAAGTCGAGGGAACCTTCCCGACGGGCACCTATCTCGTGACTGTGCATCACCCGATCAGCAGTGATGACGGGGATCTGGAAAAGGCGCTCTACGGAAGCTTCCTCCCCATTCCGCCGGCTGACGCGTTCCCCGACCCGGACCCCGCCGACTACACGCCCGAGAGCATGCCCGGAGCCATTGTGCCGGTCCCGAACAGCCGCATCGCGCTCAATGAAGGAAGGAGGCGCATCAAGCTCAAGGTTATGAGCAAGGGTGACCGGCCCATCCAGGTCGGCTCCCACTATCATTTCATCGAAACGAACCCGCAGCTGCACTTTGACCGCCTCCGTTCGTATGGGTACCGGCTGGACATCCCCGCCGGCACGTCCGTTCGGTTCGAGCCGGGTGACACCAAGGTCGTCACGCTCGTGGAGATCGGGGGCCACCAGATCATCCGGGGAGGAAACTGCTTGGCTTCCGGCAAGGTGGATCTCAGCCGTGCTGAAGAGATTATGATGCGCTTGCAGGCAGACGGATTCGCTCATGTCTCCGAACCCACTGCGGACGCCGCGCTTGTGACGCCCTTCTCCATGGAGCGGGAGGTGTATGTGCGCATGTTCGGCCCCACGACTGGAGATTTGGTGCGTCTGGGGTTGACCAACCTCTGGGTACGTGTTGAGAAGGATTACACGACTTATGGAGACGAGTGCACGTTCGGTGGTGGCAAGGTTATTCGGGATGGGATGGGCCAGTCTTCGGACAAGTCCACCACGGAGTGTCTGGATACGGTTGTTACGAACGCGCTGATCATCGACTGGACTGGCATCTTCAAGGCCGATATTGGTATCAGGGAAGGGCTTATCGTTGGTATCGGCAAAGCTGGAAACCCGGACATCATGGACGGCGTGACGCCGGGTATGGTCATTGGCTCTTCGACGGATGTGATTGCTGGAGAGAACAAGATCGTGACTGCTGGTGGGTTCGATACGCACATTCACTTCATCTGCCCTCAACAGGCGGACGAGGCACTGGCTTCTGGTATCACGACATTTCTGGGTGGAGGTACGGGTCCCTCGACCGGATCCAATGCCACTACCTGCACCCCTGGACCCACGCACATGCGCCAAATGATTCAGGCGTGCGATCGCATCCCGATGAACATCGGTATCACGGGCAAGGGTAACGACTGCGGTGGCGTGAGCATTGAGGAACAGATCAAGGCGGGTGCTGCGGGATTGAAGCTACACGAGGACTGGGGCTCGACGCCCGCTGCGATCGATAAATGTCTCGAGCTGTGCGACGAATACGATGTGCAGTGCATGATCCACACCGACACACTGAACGAGTCCGGTTTCGTCGAGCAGACGATTGAAGCCTTCAAGAACCGCACGATCCACACCTACCACACGGAGGGAGCGGGTGGCGGCCACGCCCCCGACATCATCTCGGTGGTGGAGCACCCCAACGTCCTCCCCAGTAGCACCAACCCGACCCGCCCATTCACCATGAACACCCTGGACGAGCACCTCGACATGCTGATGGTGTGCCACCACCTGTCCAAGAACATCGCGGAGGACGTCGCCTTCGCGGAAAGCCGGATCCGCGCGGAGACGATCGCCGCGGAGGATGTCCTTCACGACCTCGGGGCCATCAGCATGATGTCCTCCGACTCGCAGGCCATGGGCCGCTGCGGCGAGGTGATCCTACGGACGTGGAACACGGCGCACAAGAACAAGGCGCAGCGTGGGTTCCTACCTGAGGACGAGGGCACGGGTGCCGACAATTTCCGCGTCAAGCGCTACGTCAGCAAGTACACGATCAACCCGGCCATCGCGCAGGGGATGGCGCACATGATCGGCAGCATTGAGGTGGGCAAGATTGCGGACTTGGTACTGTGGTCGCCCAGCTCGTTCGGCACGAAGCCTGCGCAGGTGCTGAAGAGTGGAATGATCGTGATGTCGAAGATGGTAAGTCTTCACTTTTCTTTTTGGTGGTCATCAACCGAAACTGACAACAATCCTAGGGCGACCCCAACGCTTCCATCCCCACCGTGCAACCCGTGATCATGCGTCCTCAATTCGGCGTAAGTTTTTCTCATTATCTTTTTTGTTGTGCTTATGTGATAGCAAGCTAATGACCCCATCAGGCCATGGTCCCCAGCACCTCGATCATGTTCGTCTCGCAGGCCTCCATCGACGCCGGCGTCGTCCAGACGTACGGTCTCCAGAAGCGGATCGCGGCCGTCAAGAACTGCCGCAACATCGGCAAGGCGGACATGAAGTTCAACGACATCATGCCGAAGATGAAGGTCGATCCGGAGAGCTACCGCGTCGAAGCCGACGGGATGCTCTGTGACGCGGAACCGGCGGAGACTCTGCCACTGACGCAGGATTACTTTGTTTACTGATTAGTCCGGTTCGAGGAAAGATGGTGATGGTGATGGTGATGATGATGGAGATAAAGAACGGGGATAGGATTATACCTAGTAGTGTGACGAGTTTCCTTGATGATGCAGTGATACCTTTTGGGTTCTCTTCTTTGCTTGTCTTGTTTGTTTTGTTGATATACAGACTAGCCTTTTTTTTGTCATTCTTGTGTACAGACTTTTGGCCTGTTGGAGGGGGAGGGGCTGTTTACTTCTTTATCCGGTGGCGAGGCCTTGTAGGGGAGGGGATTGCTTGTGGGTGGCTTTGGATCTAGGAATTGTGTAGATGCTCGAAGTAGGAGGGGAGGGGAGGCAAAGCAGTCGGTGTAGGTAATGCCAACGACAGCCCATTGCCCATTCACATTGCTTCCCTTCCAATCTACTTATGAAAATGACAACATCCGGCATCTGGTCACTTCACAAAGTATTTATATGTACATGTCCCCAAAGCCAATCCCCAACTTAGCGTATGCTACATTCTGACCCAACAATGGGATTTACATCCACAACAACCCACTGACCTCCCAAGCGCACCACAACCTTCCTTCCCCCCTAACATCTTTAAAACACGCGTATCTAAAACCCCCAGAGCACCCCCGACCCCCTCCCCTTCTACAAGGGTGGGTAAAGAAAGAAGACTAAAGCTCCATCTCAACCTCCGAATGATTATTCCCCGTCGACATCAGCGCCACGGCCGTCGCCCACGCCTCGTAGCTATCCGCCTGCGCGGCGCGGTAGGCATCCTCGCGCCGGGTCCGGGTTCGAGTCTGCTTGCGGCGTTCGGGTTTGCGCGTTGACTGGGCTGTGGTGGCGGTGGTGCTGGGTCGGTGGCGTTTGGTTGGGGGTTGTTGGTTGGCTTTGTCGTTCCTGGGGGTGTTGGAGGGATTGGTGGTGGATGGGGTGGAGGGGGATGGGGGATGGTGAAGGCGAGGGCGAGGGGGAGGTGAAGAGGTCGTCGATTAGGGTTTCTTCTTCTTCTTCTTCTTCTTCTTCTTCTTCTTCTTCTTCTGGGGAGGTGGGGTGGGCTTGGTTGTCAGAGACGGGAGTTGTTTGGAGTTGGGTATTGGGGGAGGTGGGATCTGGGTTCTGGTGGTGTTTGGGGTCTTGCGGTTGGAGTTGGGGGTTAGTGGTTGTTGTGGGTGTTGGTGGTGGTGAGGGTGAGGGTGTGGTATCTGTGTCTGGGGAAGGGGGGATGGTTTTGTTGACCTCAACTAAGGGGTCGCCGGAGAAAGGGTTTAGCTGGGTTGATCGTGGGAGGTCATGGCCGACTATCTCATCGGAGGCCTGCTCGTTGGTCGTCGGCCACGAGGATGGAAGGGAGCTCAGGTTGTAGGCTTCGCGTTGGGAGTCGGGCATGGCTTGGAGGAAGGTCCATGCTTGTCGGATTGCGTTGCGGTGGGTTTGGGCTGTTTGGGGTGTTGTGGGGGAGATGATGGGGAGGTGGGATGGCGTGGTGGTGGTTTTTGGGTGGGGAAAAGGAGTGGGATTGTAGGTGGTTTCATCGATGGTTGCGAAGGAGGAGGGGAGGTTGAGTTCTTCGGTGGAAGATGCTGAGGAGATGGTGGGATTTCTGTGTGGTGGACGAGGAGGTGAAGGTGGCAGTGGCAGTGGCAGTGAAGACGATAGCTTGCGTGCTTCGGACTGCTGAGTGTCGAGTGTCATGCCGGATGACTGTTGGCTTGATTGTGGGGTGACGGAGGGAGCTGCTTGCCTCGACCGGTTCCTTCGATGGACAAGTTCCTCATCGTTGGAAATCATGTCGCGCATCACCTGGTCGTGAGCAAACTCGGTACCTGAGCAGAGGTGGCCGAAGAGGTTCTGCATGGAGATCTCTTCGGTCCAGGTCACTGGGTCGACGGTGCAGGGGTGGATGTCTTTCGGTTTGAACGCGGCAACAAGATCACACAGTTCCGAGTACGAGGAGTGTCGGGAGTAGGGGAAGCGCTGGCCTATTCGTTAATCATTGCCAAAGCAGCGATATTGGGATCTTACGATGACTTTGGGAAGCGCCTCGCCTTCCGTAGGGTGTTCGTCGTCCGGCAATCGTGTTTCCACCGCACGGCCACGGCCTAGCATCTTGACCAGCTTCTCCAGAGGCATCTCGTCTGCGTCCTTCAAGCCGAAGCTGTCCAGTAGTAGCACCTTTCTTTTCGACTCGAAAGCCTCAACAAGGGCCTGTCTAGTGTGCGATAATGCCTGGGTGTCATGGATCCGCTCAAAACAAAGCTTCTCCAGCTGCTCCAAGGCAGACTTGTCAGGCAGCTCGAGCTCGTGGATCTGATACAGATCACCCCCTCCTCCCCCAGCCCCCAATTCGGGCATTTCGGAGCCGTCCTTTGTCCGATTGACCACCGGCATGATGTAAACGGTGCCCTTCGACCTCGCCACCGAACACTGCACGCCGGGCTCGCAGCTATGTATTCGAGCGCGCTCGTCCTCGCTTAGACAACCTGGAACGAAACGGTTACCTAGTTCAAACCCACAGAGCGAGGGCACCTCGTCGATGCCCCCTTCCACCCGTGAGGAGGCAAGCGACCTATAAAGGTCCATCTGGTATCGATCGACGTGAACCTTGTGAGCTTAGCAAGATAGACAGTCCTCATACCCAGACAGGCAGAAGTACCTTGGAATGAAGCGCCGCAGAAAGAGCCATCCAGACTTCTTCGTACCCCATGGTCCATGCACGGAAGTAGAATGTCGTGTTCTCGGGATAGGTTTCGACCTTGCGCAGCAGTTCGGCCAAGCCTTCCGCTTTCGACGGGAATCCCCGACAGATACGGGATGGACGGGCAAAGGTGGTGTCGAGGTAGATCTTGTCCAGCTGCCTGGTCCCTAACGTGTAGGGGATCAAGATCGGGTGCCGGATGATGCTGTTGACCCACCAGGGTTCAGCTACATCGGGTGCAATGTCAGCAACCGAGGAGAGTATCCCATTTAAGGACGGACACACCTCGGATATCACCGGTGTACAAGATGGCATTCCCCTCGCCCTCGATCAGAAACATCACTGCACCGGTGCAATGGTTCGCATCGAGGAGGGTGACCCTGATGGACAGCCGTGGGGTCAGGTCGATCTCTGTTGGCGTGTTTAATGGAATGGGCCTCTTCATCAGGCGAGTCAGCAATCTAGGGCAGGATAGGGCTCGTCGAGCGAAAATACCAGCAGCTTGGACAGGTGCTTGTAGTGCAGTCTGCGCGATTCGAGGATGCCTTTACTGAAGTTCATCCGATGAGGATACTTTTCGATCCGTAGGAGTAGCTGACCATACCGTAAGCTACTACGCCAATGGGGTCTTCAAACGTGTCTAATCACCTCGCGTGTGGCTGCTGAGCAGTAGATGAAGGGCGCTCGGAAGGACTCGAGTCCCTGCAGGTGGTCACTATGCACATGGCTCAGGAAGCAGACCAGCGGAGGAGGTCGGTCTGGGCTCTTGCGGAAGTAATCGACTGGCAATGATTCTCAGCATCAGTCTTACTCATTGAGAGAAAGTTGATTGCAAGATGCTTTACTTTGTATATAGGGATATTCTACTCGACATCAGATTTGCTCGCATTAATCTATTGCGTGGTGTACACCACCAACCTTGGACAATCCCATCAAAGGTAGACATGATCTTCACTATCCTCCTAATAATCGGAAACTTTCACCCTAGAGTATCATGAGCATTTTAGATGGATGAAGGGGCGAGTTACTAGAGTCTGTGCTGTGCAGAGACCTAGGGAAAAGAGGAGAAAAGAAAAGGTCGAGGCAGAAGCAAGTATGACGGGTGGTAACGTGACTGGGCATTTTATGGATGGAGTAAGGAAAGAAAAGCACAGGCAAATCCAACGTTGAATGCTGCTGCACTCGACGCATTACTATTGCTTACTATTATTACTGCCTTACTTGAAGGCCAACTCGTTAGCTCTGCTGCAATAAACCTCATCAACACTGGCTGTACTCCATACTTCAAGGCAATCCAGATCATCAAGATCATACCGCCTTTTTGGCCCCGGGCCCCATTTTTACGCTTTCGGACATTGTCTGGCCCGTCGATTGTCTCAATCCATCCGCCAAACGGGAACGCGAAAGGAGATATTTTCAAAGAAAGAATCACGAAAAGACAAAACAAAAGAAAAAACAACAACAAAAAAAGTCATGACGCTGGCCCAGAATGCTTCTCGATTCGAGTACCTACATGGACCCCGGGCAGTCCAAGTGGCCTTGCAGTTGAACCGTTGAACCTCTGTGAGGCGAGTGGGCGACGAGAGTGAGTGAGTGCCAGAACGGACCCGCCGCCCGCCAACGCAGGGCTGGTGGGCCATGCCATGCCATGCCATCATCACCACCACCGACGTGAGGCGGCCAGAGTGTCTGACACAATTACGGTGATGGATCGACCTGTTGTCATCGATTCAGGTTGGCTACGAGTCCACGCAGTCGGTCTCCGATGCGATGCGCTGGTCATTTGCCTGCGTGGTTTCGTCGATCCCAGAGTCAGCCGACTGATACAGAGTTGAACGGCCGATAAGTATAAAAAGGTCAACCCAGGTCACACAGGCGCTTTTCCTCGTGAATTTCTCTTTCTTTCGCCGTCCTTCGATCACCAACAAACAGACTTACTTCTCCTCTGCGTCTCCTCTGCTTCTCCTCACCCGAGTCAGGGTAGCCCTAAATTAGACCGCATTTCACTAGAATGGGCCCGGTTCCCCATCGTTTCTGATCGACAAGCGGGACGGATTAGGCTTCTAGTTCTAACGGTACCTGAAGCCAAGGCGTCGGGTGGTACGTCACATTATTATTCGCCTCCAGGAAGAGTCGCTCCCTTTCCTTTTGGGAATATCTCCGATAGATCATAGAAGGGCAAAGGAAGGGAGGGTCGGAGAAGAGAATTGACTCCGTTCCTCTATCAACCGGGCTCTCGGATCGCGTCTTCCATTGTTCTTCTTCATACCTCGACTACGCCTCGACAGCAACACCTCCAATCCACGTGTATGGTAGGGATTCCATGCAACCATCCCGGAGAGACATGCCGGCTTGCATTGTTCTCCCTTATTAGAGACTGTATGAGTACGGAGTGTTGGCTGAAACCTTGACCAAGTCGGGCTTGTATCCACGCACCTCCTGTCTCCTATTCTAGGCTTTCTAGCCCAGCTTCGATCGCTCATTCCGACCACTACTATTGCTGATCGACAATCTCCGGCTACCCCCTTCCGCAACCAGATACATCTCTGGTATCTTCCTCACCGTCTGAGCATTCCCCCTTCTCGCTCTCATTCTTTGTTCTCCTCATCTCACCCCAGCATCCGTGCACTCTGTTACCCCATATCTGTCCTTAGGGTCATCTTCTTTATACACTCTCCCACCACTCCCGCCCTTCACCGCATCTCTCCTTCACTACTTACTTTGTACAACTTTGCGTACAACCCAACCTTCGCCACTTATCCTCAGTTTTCCGCCTTGTCCGATTCGAATTCCATCAATCATCTTCAGTATGCACAAACCATCGCTGGCTCAAATCGTGCACAGCGCACTGTTCCCACGGCCGCGTGCGAGCGACCCGGCAACATTCTCAGCTCATATCACCCGTAACCTGGTTCCCGAGGTCCGCGTTGAAACGTCCACTTTCTATGGATCGCTCGACTGCATCGAAGCTCAATATCCAGGACTAGACTACTCACATGGCCCTCACCGCATGAGGCTCAGCCGGTTTCCCTGGCACCGCAGACTGTTCAGGGCCTTCGATGAGTTGGGCCTGACAGAGGCGGAGATCTCGTCCCTCTGCCGCTGGGAGGGAACCAAGTCAGCTCGTGAGCGATATGAGATCGAGGAGGGCGTGAAGGTACGCGACACGACTGCAGATAGTATTCGACCTGCATCCCCTTCTCCTCTTCCGTCCGTCGAAGTGCACTACGAGGACGGCCCGGAACCCGCCAAAGAACCGGAACGCAGAGCAGATATGCCGACCCCCGAAGTTCGCACCCCAAGCGACGTCATTGATGACCGCGGCATTGACTGTATCCTTGAAGAAACCGTCGAGGAAGATTACAGCGAGGATGAAATGGAAAGCTGCGGGGTGGAGCTGAACCATCGTCTACTGGCCGCAAGCGCTGCGCGCGAACAGGGTGCCAATGTACCACTGGACGAAGACTGGGAACAATGGTTGAAGGAAGCCGGGGAACGGGGAAGCTATACTGACGTGGTGAATGCAATTCGAATGGGTCAGCCCTTGGGATACCTATACGACATACCATCCTCGGTGCCTCACATGGGTCGAGCAGGCATTCGCCCCACCAGCTCGCTATCAGAGCCATTCACACTACCATCGCCATCCACTTTGCTCGCTTCTCGACGAGCAGGAGGCCACGCGCCCTCCCGAGCTGCTCGTTAGAAGAAGAGTATGCCCGCCAGAGGAAGAGATTCTGATGTTGTTCTTTTGTTTTTCGGATTAGCGAATGGGCTTGGCTTTTCTGATCGATGCATTTTCAGCGCTCCGGTGGACAGGCGTCTTCAAGCGTGATATTTTTATTGACTGGTTGTTCATAGATCTCCTCGGTTTTTGTTCTTGGTGTGAATCTGCCCCTCAACAATGTTTAATACCCCGACCAACCTGCTACTCATGTTGGGCATAGATACTTATTGGTTGTTGAGGATCATAGCTTAATCACAATATACTCGATATTTGATAGACAGGAGGGTGACCCAAGTGTCTCTGAAAAGTAAAGTATGTATAGTGTACTGTAGTCCATCGGGCGGAAAGGTTCTCCGCGCCGCGCCTGAAGTTCCCCGCGACTCCCCGCGACTCCCAAAGTTCTCTTGCACTTCATCCTCCTTCCTTTCCCTAGCTCTTTACCAATGTCCTTTTTCGCCGACTCTATCGGGATCCGCGCTCGTTGAAAGGCGCTTGGATCTCTATGCAGGATGGGTTGAATTTCTTATAACTCTTGCTTCTTAGCCATTCCTGACTCCTCATCCTACCACCCCCTGTTCTCCCCGCACCCACCGTCATCATGATCAAAGCCATCTTCTACAGCAAGTTCGACACCCAAGAGGGTAAGCTAGCCTTCAAAATTGAACTTGCTGGCAAATGACTGATTTTGTCTAGGTCCCAAGGTTGTTCACCAAGTTCCAGACGGTGCTATCGTTCCCTCCGCCGCCGCGCCCTCGCAGCCCCCCTTCCTGACCTTCTCCGACATCTCCTTCTTCGTGATCCCTCGGCAAGAACTTTGCGGAAACCTGATTCAGGTTTGCACCAATGGCTACCGTATCCTGGGCTACCCGATCTGTATGAAGTCGCTTCGCTATGACCGCAACGAGTTCATCTTCAATTTCTGTGTAGTGCTGGCGGAAGAGGAGGATTTCAGCACCTACAAGAGCGTTGTGCAGAAGCTCGCGGATCTGATGCATGGATTGGAGGAACAGAATGGATTCTTGTCCAGAGATCATTCGAAGTCCGGCGAGGGCAAGGTATACAGCTTGTGCGAGACTTTGATGGAGGACTTGAACAACTACTGCGAATGCATGATCCCTATCGGTACTTCTTGCCCCGTGCCTCACCCTGCATGCGTACTCCCATACACAGAGTGATGCTGATGGCCATCCAGATGAGCTGAATACCCTCAACATCAAACTTTTCCCAATCTACCCGGCTCCTCCCCCAGTCAAGGCCTGGCAGGTCCCTTTATTCACGGTCCGATATCAGACGTTCATGGACGAGAACTGGGATCTGACCATGCAACGTGTACGTCGCATTTTCCTAACCGCCTCCAACATAGCATAACCCTGATAAACTGTCCAGATCGTGCCCCATATCAACGGAGTCAACAGCGTACGGATCATTTCCATCCTGGCCGACACCGACTTCTCCCTAACCTGTCGAGCCATCCGGCACCTCCTCTACTACGGGTGTCTGTTTCTGCTCGACATCTTCTCATTCTCAGCGATTTATGCGCCCACCGCGCAGTTCAGCTCGACCATCGCCATGGACGAGGACATGCAACAAGAATGTGCGCGTTACGTCAACACCTCCTTTGCCTCGCCCGTCACTGCCGCATCCGCCGCCCTCGCCGCCGGCTCCGACCCGGACGCCGTCTGGCCGCCGGTGGGCGACGTGCTCACCACCAGCAGCGCCAGCGTGACCGCGCCCAGCCGCACTCCAAGCCCGACCCTCCTCTCCAACGCCGTGATGGCCACCTCATCCAGCGTCACCGTCACCCCCAGCCCGGCCGCAGTAGCTGCCGCGGCCGCAACGTCCGTATCATCCGAACCCAACCCCGGCACCTCTCAAACCCGCGGACCCTACGATAACCGCCCGGTGGTAGACGGCGCCGGTCTGGTCTCGCTGTACGCAAGCCTCAAACAAGGCCAAAACGTCAAGCAATGGTACCTCCACCACAGCCGCGAACTCTCGCACATCGACATCCGCCGCTTCATCACCTTCGGCGTCATCAAGGGCTTCATCTACCGCGTGCACAAATATGCCGTCGCCACGGGCCAACCGGCCCCCCACTCAAGGCCTCTGCCCTTTCCCACAATTACCACTACCACCACAACACCCAGAACAACCACCACCACCACCAACAAAGCCCCGCAATCACCCCCGCAGGCGGGGGAACGCTCCAGATCCCCATCTCCAGCGGCCCCTCCTCGCGCGGACCCGGCACGGGCACGAATTCCCCGTACGCGTCGAGCGCAGGCGACGAACCGGCGCCGATTGCACAGCAGAACCAGCACCAGCACCAGCATTCGCACCAGCAGCACCAGCACCGCCAACATCATCACTCAGAGGGACGGGAGCACTCGACCTCCGTGCACAGCGGAAGTCGTCCGGGGACGGTGGTGACACTCGACAACAACGAGGACGACGAGGACGAGGACGAGATCGACGACAAGACGCTCTCCAAGTATCTGGACGGGATGCATTGTTTCGATCAGATCTGCACGGAGCTTGAGATCAGCGAGCGCGAGCTCACGGCGCGGTTGAAGCGGTTCCCCGGCGAGGTGTTGATTATCCATCGGTGAGCCGATCCTCGAGAGCGGGAGGGGATGTGGTTTGGTGGAATGTATTGATACCCTGTGGTTTTAGATTATACGTCGTATGCAGTAGAGACTACGAAGTCATAGACACTTTGCATAGAATAGTCACTAGGTTACAGCTAGCCTACAATACCTCTCCCACGAGGCTAGAGATACGCTATGATTACGATGCTCCTAGCCATGTCCTTACTGACTGTAACTGAGCCTTGAGAATGATTCTTCTATTAGCGAAGAGAATACGAACAACGCCCTCGTGAGCGACCCGACTGGCGTCCAGTAAGCCACAGATTTCCAGGTACTTGTCTGTAGACAAGAAAAAAAGAAAAGAAAGAAAGAAAAGACCCTCATCTCGCCCGCGTAATCATGTCATAACGCCCGACCCGAAATCCCGTAATATCCCGGAAAGGAAGGAAGTAAACTCGCTGCAAGCCCCATGACCCGGGAGAAAAGAGAAAAACCCAAATAATCGCGTCATCTGATAAGACCCCCACCGTGATTCGCTCAGCGAAGCCCGAGATAGAGAAGAAAAAAAAAATAAGGAAAAAGATATACATCGAACATGCATACACCGACGTCATGATCCTATGATCATGATGATGGTGACGGAAGGAGCAAGAGAATTCTGCTTACTCCTGCTCGTCGTCCCACCCTTCCAGCTCGGCCTTCTCCAGCTCGGCCATCATGGCGGGCTCGAAGACCGTCTCCTCCCTGCCGGGCACGCTGGTCTTGCTCTCGCGGAAGACGGGGCCGATGCAGTCGCGCCAGCGCTTGCGGCGGTCCATCAGGGTGCGGGCGACGTCGCCGATGGCGGGGCGGCCGACGCCGGCGGCGCTGGCGACGTGGCCCCCCGCGCCGGCCCCGCCGGCCCCGCCGCCGCCGGGTCGGTGCTTGGCCTGGGAGCCCTTCTTGCTCTTGCCCAGGGTGCGGGTGCGCTTGAGGTAGGCTTGCTGGACCTGGGAGTCGAGGTCGTCATGGATGGTCATGTACTCCTGGTGGGCCATGCGCTCGCGGGCGATGTCGAGGAGGCGGGTCTTGCGGGCGCTGTTGATGATCATCTGCTTCTTGAGCTCGCTCTGCAGCAGGCGCAGCCGCTGCGCGATGTCGTCGTCGTAGTGCGCGTCGTAGTCCGGGTTGTCCTCGGGCCCCAGGAACCCCACGTGCCGGAGCTCCGCCTTCAGGCGCTCGTCGAGCTGGGCGTGGTCGAGCTTGGCGGCGGGGGTCTTGAAGCCGTTGGGCGAGGCGTCCGGGAAGGCCGTGGCGGAGGCGAGGGGCTTGTTGTTGGCGTCGGCGTCGGCGGGGGCGCTGCTGCCGCTGCCGTTGGGGAGCGGGGGAGGCAGGGACGGATGGTCGAGGTCCATGGAGTCGCCGAAGCCGTTGAGGCCGTTCGTGGTCGTCGTGCCGTCCCCGTTGGTGGTGGTGGTGTCGTCGGGACTGGAGCGGTGCTCGTAGCGGAGGAGGGAATAGAGGCGGCTGACAAGGGGGCCGACGGACACTTTGTCGGTCTCGACCGTCTCATCCGTGACCTGGTCGATGTTGCCGCGGCCTTGGTTCAGCGGGAGACGCTCTTTGTCGCCGTTCGCTTGGTCGCTGTTTCCGAGCCCGTCTTCTTCCGCCCACGTCTCCGCGTAGTGTTTCTTGCCGCGTCGGGGCATGATGAATGGGCTTGCTCGGTCGCCCTGGGGTTTGTTAGTTAGGGTGTCAATGACGCTGGGCGAGAGCGGAGATGTACCTTTTCCTTGAGAAATGCCATATCCTCTTCTGTCATTGGGCGGACGTAGGGGTCCACGTACGCGAGGAATGTATTGGCGCTGACTTGGTTCGTGGGCTTGGAGTTGCTGAAGTCGCGGTCGGGCGGTACCCCCGCCATCATGTGGCTCAGATCGCTGCGAGGGAAGCGGTTGACGCTGTAGATAAATTTCTTCTCCTCATCGGTCATATCCGGCGTGACCTCGCGAATGTGATAAATGGTCGGGTCATCGAATTTCAGTGGGTTGGGGCCGAACACCTGCACCTGAGGCACGGCCGGGGCGGGCTCAGGCTGGTGCGAGCTGGAGCTGTCGTCTGAATCCTCATCGGAACCTTCGCCTTGGGAACCCCTGGCGGCCTCAGCGGCCTCACGGGGGGATTTGGGCGAGAGGGAGGCGTCGTCGGAGGCGGCGTTCTTGGACTTTTTGGAAGCTGGGGATGCGGCTGGTCAGGTCAGTGATGATGCTCGTAGCGACAGGAATGGGGGGAAGGGGAAAGGCGAAAGAACGGCAAAGACTCACCTCCTTCGACTTTAGTCTCAGCGCCATCCTGTCGCGCCAGGCCATGCGCTCCATGGGCTAGAGGTCGATCCTCCTTGGAGCTGCTGCCTCGTTCCTTTCTCTTCTTGAGCTTGCCGCCCTTGAACACCTTGTCTTCATCTTCTTCGTCGGCTTCGCGCTTCATCTTCAGTCGGTCGCTGCCGCCGCCCTCGCGATCACCCAACTCGGGCTCGTCCGCCACTTCCTTGCGCTTCTGCGACAGCTCCCGGATGCCGGCATTGCACACGTCTCCGCGGGTCTCGGCCAGCTGACTGAGCGTCTTGAGGTGTTCCATCAACATTTCCAGCGACTTGGAATCGGGGATCGGCCCCACCCCGCCCATGCGCTCCAACAGCTCCCCATATTGTATCGAGACGTTCATCATCAGCTTCGAGGCATCGTTGTCGAGATAACTGTAGACGGGGCCGCTGGCGGTCGGGCCAGCACTGAAACTGGAGCTGGGGGTGGTGTTGCGACTGCGCGAGGGGCGCACCTCGCGATCACGCTCACGGTCCCGGTCCCGATCCCGATCGCGGTCGCGGTCGCGACCTTTGCCCTTGCCTTTGCTGGCGGCGGGCATATTCGGATGGTGAGTTTATGGAGGTCGGTAGTGGAAAGCTGGGGTAGATGAGATGAGAACTGTCCGAGGTCGGCGGGCTAGTGGTCCATAATGTTCCACTCGGGGGGGTTGAAGCGTCGTTGTGTAGACGCTCGAATTGAAAGGCTGGCCGAAGGGCTGGCCGATCAGTTTTCGTGGTTGTTTCTGTTAACGAGGTGGACTTGGTCTGTTGTGCCTGTGCCAGTTCCAGTGATCCTGTTCCATCGTTCCTGGGGAAAGTGACAGCACGTGAGGGGAAGCGGCATGTGAGATCACGTGTTGTGACTTAGTCAGAGGGGGTGTCTTCACGTGATCAGGGAGGCAATGATCTCCATCACTGACCGTTTTAGGATTAGTGCAGGGTGGACCAGTGACTTTCCTCTTTAGTATTAGTTTCCCATCACTGCAGTGACTATGTACTCCGTCCCCTACAGTAGATTCACTTCAACATGTCCAGTAAGAGCTTCTCCACATGACAATCCTGATAGGCAACTTGAGCTTCAAGGTTGCTATTCCTAAATTGTGTTTATATATCACCATACTATCACCGTACTATAAGATGTTGGACAATGATCAGTAGAAATGTGGCGCTGATGGGTTGCAGGCTAAGTTGGTTCCTGCAAGAGCGAATGCAAATCCCTCCATGCGTACTTCGAACGCAAGTAGACCAGCATTGGCCTCTTCTGCTTTGGTATGCTTCTTGCTCTTGCATGGTTTGCATGGTTTGTCTACCTGTACACCGCTCTCCACCGCTCTCCACAACCGTGGAGTTAACAACAATCCCTTCGTCAATCAATCTATCCATGATGTAGCCGCAAAGTCGCCAGCAAAGGTCCTAAAAATCTATTGATGCTTGCATCGTGCTCTGAATGAGTTTCGCCCCCAATGCGATAATGGTCTGCATCATATTTCGGAGCCAGTCAGCCGCAGCCTCCCGCAAACGTCTGCTGCAAACAGGACCGATCGGCACCCAGGTCACCCAAACAACCGCAATGAACATTCACACGCAGACCTGAGAAGCTGAGACAGCCCAAGAACCTCGGAGCCCTGCATGACCTGCCCCTGCAGCTCTGCAAGCTCTATGTCCGATGCAGTAAACTCAGCAGCGGCGCTGCGATCCTGTCACTGACGGGCAAATCCGTCCCATTCCCTTAGTTGCCCTACTGTCAGCATTCCTCCTGGCTATCGGCCTGGACACCGCTTGCATTCTTCCTCTTTCAGTGGCCAACATGGATACGAATCTCATACGCCCCGCCTAGCCAGACCCGGCACACCATGTTGGCTGTGCTGGTTGTCTTTTAAGTCGCTGGCTCTCCCCTTCGAGTGGGCGGTAGGCCCCCATGCGATCACCTTCATCATGAGTAAGTGTCTCAGCACCGGGGAAAGGTATGCATCCTAAGTAAGGGCTGCGGCTAATTGACTTGCCCATAGCTGCAAAATCACTTACCACGTTCACGGAGGTCTTCTTTGCCAATCCAGGGCAAGCAACTAACGCAACACCGTCAGTGAATGTAAGTTTCCTGTCCGAGTTCCGAGAAGACACCGGGGAGGAAAGACTGACGGATGTCGACATGCTCGCAGAACAGCGCCGCGTTCTCCTTGAAGCTCGATCATACCGTACAGACACTGTCAAGAAAAGGCGCCCCTGGCAGAGGCCCAATCGAAGGTTTTCTCTTCGTCCCCAGCCTCGATGCCGCCGACGCGTGCAACAATGCCACCGCTGCATACGTCCCTGCCAATGTGACCCGCCTCGACGATATCACCCCGCTCGGGAACCGCAAGATCGGCCTGGCGCCCTGGATCAGTGTGGACTGCACGCGAGCGTTTCTCAATGCTTCGCAAGACGCTGGAACCGATGCGCTGGTATTTTTCCAGCCCAATAGCGACGATTCTCAACCACCGCCGGCAAGAGATCCATCGTGGTCCTTAGGGGATGAGGACGACTGGAAGAGCACAAACAAGTATCCGGTGTACGCGATTCCCGGGCCGGCGGGTGTCACCCTGATGGAGAGACTATCGTTGTACGGAACTGTGAACGACCCTGACGGTGGATTTCAGTCCGATTACCAGTTGATTTCCGTGATCGATATAGGTGAGTCCTCCCTGCTGGGCGGTCTCGGGTAATTGATCCTAATAGCAAAATCCAGAAAGCACCAGCCAAACCATGCCTAGCCTCTGGGGTTTCATTCTAGCTATCCTGGGAACAATCCTTGTCTTGAGTGTGGTACTGCTCGTGTTCTACCAGCTTGTACAGAGGCGACATCGACAGACCCTTCAGCGGCGCTTGGAGAGCGGGGACGTGGATCCGGAGCATCTGGGGATGCATCAGATACGGGTCCCGCCGGATTATTTGGATACAATGCCAATATATGTCTATGGAATCGAGACCAACGCTGATCACGACCACGGATCCGAGGAACGGCCTGCTAAAGATACAGCCCATTCGCATGCCCACCCCACCTCAATGGGATCTGCAGAGACGATCGTCGCCAACGTCAAAGCTGACCACCATGACACTCCACCCCGATTCTCCTCCGAAACAATCATACTCAGGCCTGAACCTGCCCGCTTAAAGGAAGTCGAAGACAGAGCCGCATCCATTCACTCCTCCAGAAGCGGCAGCGGCACTTACTCCCCCCCGCGAGCGAATGACAGATGGCAGAAACATCGACTAAGCCGATCACAGACGACCTGCGCGATCTGTCTGGACGACTATGTGCCGGGGGAGTCCACCGTGCGAGAACTACCATGCGGACATATCTTCCATCCGGACTGCATCGACACTGCATTAACCCAGTCCAGCAGTCTGTGTCCACTATGCAAGAAGAGTGTACTGCCAGTTGAGCGCTTTCCTGCACCAGATATTCTGGTGCGGATGGCAGGGATTGAGAGGCGAAGTTAATGAGGAACCTTCCTTCAGTGTGCTATGATCGCCACGGTTCTTATTACAAAGATCTGGGGCTCAAATAAGCGCTCTGGCACCATCTTCGCTCGGTCAAATCTGGAACAAGATTCAGCATAATTTCCACTATCAGTGGATCACGTCGCATGGAGTTGATGGCACTCAAACTTGCATATGACAACCTGGTATCGTCTGTTTCAATTGCCTACGAGTGCAATCCGCAAGTTAATCACCACACTCCCCGCGACGTAAAGTACAGAGTTCTATGAACGAGAGACAAGGCTGCGCCACGAAATGAACCCATAGCTCAACCTATGATTTGGTTTCGGCAACAAGAACAACGGAGCCATGAAGTCTGAGGTAGTGGCTTCACTATACCAAAACTGCTCTTACTATCTTGATGTCTAACAGTTTTCTCCACACGACATACGCGTCGACCTCCTGAGGGGTCTTGTGCACCGTGAGTGCGGAAGTAACAGCTCGGATCTACAACGAACACCAGTGGCGCGGCGGCTTCAACGTCCCGGGCCCAGGGTTGCTACGCCAACCTTCTCATCGAGTTTCCGCCCCGTTGAACAGCCTAATACAGATTATCTGTGGTCCAAGACTTGGAGTGGGACTCTCTGGAGACTTGGAGCTAGCTACAGTAGTTGTTGCAGGTCGCCGCGAGCTTGACCTTTCAGTAACTACTCCACTGGACTGGCTGAGCCGAGCATGGAAATGGAACAGCTGGAGATTAGGACATCAGGGTGGAGATAAGTCTTGAGACCGGGAGCAATGACGGAAGAGCTTGTGTTTGCGCATTGGATGCTCAAGAGGATGGATTGATGGGATAAATGGTGCGAACGGAGGGCCAAAAGGCTGTAAAGAGGTACTGGAGTGCTAAGCACAATGCACCGCATCATGAAAGAACACCATGCCCTGCTGTTTGGTTCGTTAAGCCTCTCGAGGCGTAGCAGAATCCATACTCCCACTAGAGATTCTCCATCCAATACTGTTTCTCTTCAGGTATACCAATCATCCCGAACAATCCTCTCCAATTCATTCCTGCTCCCCTACCCTCATCGACGTACCGACTTCCACATCACCGTTCAAAAGTAGACAGACGGGCCTAGCGATGGGCTAATCCTCCCCAACCATGGGCTTACCCGCACACCCTCCCTCATAATCCACTCCGTTGTTTGGTCGTGATTTCAGAGAGCGCGCCGCTCGCTGCGTGCACAAGAAAGTGTGGACCCGCTCGCTCCCATGGCAGAACCGATCCAAACGCGCAGTTCCCAACTGCGTCCCGCCCAGAATCATCCTCAACCTGCCGACAGCGCTCGAAAACAAAGGGACCAGGGATCGACCTTACGCTGGTTGTCGAAAATGAAGATGGGACCCAAAACAAAAAATCATGCGCTTCGTACAAGTACAGGTACTAACCAGGCTCTTGGAAGGCTGTAAAACCCCGGCACGACTTACACTGCGTCTCATCTCTCCCAGCGAACCAGTTGGTGTTCTTGTTTAATTCTCTGCCGCCCCACGCTCCGCTGCATCTGGAACAGAAACAAATCAGCAGTAAGGCAGTGAGGCCACATGTCTACGATCCTGGTGCTGGTATGTCTCACAGTGTTTACCGATCAGCAGCGCACAAGGTATAGAAGAACCAGGGGGAGAGGAAAGGGAGGGGTGGGGGGGCGGTGGTTTGTGTTTACCTTCGACCGCCAGGAAAACCCACGTCTCAAACTGTGAGACAGGCGAGTGTGCAGCAAATTACCTCACTCGTTGCACTTGAGTACCTGACATTTTGATGCGACTCGAGACATTGTGACGAGCCAGTCAATGAATGCAGGCAACTAACTCCTCGCTTTACTGTACAGTATCAGAAAGCTCTTATCTTATCACGAATAAGCATCTTCAGCCCCTTGGTACTGCATATAGGCTCTAGATTCCTGGCGTACAGCGAACCACTAATACTGTACGTTGACTCGTCACAATGAAACTACGTCTGCATATTGACACCCATCACCTAATTACAACATCAGTCAATTTAAGTCTTCGAAGAATCATAGTCTAACCTGCGGAAAGAAAGCCCATCTCTTATCTCCCTCCCCATACATGATGAATGCATCTCCCCTTGTACCCTGAGCCTAACTAGTCACAGAAATGAAAAGAGACGCCTCCACAAAGCATAAATCACACAGAATAGGGAATGAAGAGGGAAAAGCTTCCATGGAAAAAGTCATCTTCGCTTGCAATCTTTCTGTTTTGTATCAAAGACAACTTGCATAAGCGTCTGAGAGCAGGAGAAGTTGACGTCGCAAGCCAAGGAAAAAACAGAAATAATACAATGAACGAGGGAACTGCCCCAAGCAGTATATCTTGACATCATTGTCTTTATCCCCGGTCCAGAGAAGAGTGTCAAGTCACTGTGCTGTCAGGTCATCAAGGCCGAGTCTATTATTAAGTATCCGCACTAACGATATGTCATGATCCTTTCTTTTGATCCGTTGCGCATGATTTCTATCTCTTGTAAAGTCGCGTCAGGAAACGAGTGTACGAGTGTAAAAGCAGGGGAATAGTACTGGCGAAAAGAAAAAGAAAAAACTCGGAACGAGTATATGGAGTTCCGGTTGTGTACATGACAACCCCGAAAAGGTGGTCTCGAAGCAGAATTGCACATGTTGGGTCTCAAAGACCATGGTGAAATTCACAGTATCACAGAGGTGGCAAATTGTTCTTCAATGTGTTGCGACAAATCCACAATGTAGACTCATGAGAGTTGCGTTGCCATTTCAAGAATTGAGCGACAAGCCCTGGAACCGACCCATCCACTCATTTTGGGGATGCATACGGGAGGATCCAGCGCTTGCGCCAGTGCCTGCCGCGTAGTCGACATATCCCGAATCCAAGGGAGTATATCCGCTAGGCGAGTAAGGGGAGAAGGGATCCGGAGACGCGTGTCCCCCGAGGCTGGACTCTGGCGCCCGGGAGGACGGGCCGAGGGATTGATAGGGCTCCGCGTACGCACTGCGTAGCATGCCTAGCTGGCCATCTCGCCCAGCATCGTGTCCATCTCGGGCAGAACCATACATTCTACCATCGTGCTGGTGCGAGCGATCTGTCTGCGTGTCGTGACTGTAAGCCAAAGGGTTCGGGGCCTGAAGACCTGCACTTGGAGGCGTCACAAAAGAGGCGGGGTTGATGGCCGACATCCAGATCCGGGTTTTGTAGATCTTGAAGAGATCGGTCACCAGTGAGTTGAAGTTGATATAGGAATCGGCGAAGTAATAGAAGGTAAGCTTCTTCCAATCCCTACGACAATTAGTATCAGGGCAACAGCGTTGGACAGTGTCGACTTACATCTGGAATTCAGCGTCCAAGATCTCCATGTTGAGCCGATGCTCTGCTACTTTCTGCTGACAGACGCGTTTGGCCTTGGCTTCGTTCCCTTCCTTGTCGCGAAGCGCCAAAATCTCATGATTTTGGGCAAGCCTCTTGATCAACTTAGGTTTGATGTCGGCTGTGGAGTCTTGAATGCCATGCGAGCCATGAGGGCCCATTCCGCCGATGGCGCTTCTATTGTTCAGGCCTGGCACACTTCCAGGGGCGTTGACCACATTTGCCGCACCGTTCTGGCCCTGTCGAGAAAACATCATCAACCACTTATAATGATCTTCCGCATACTGTTGCTTCAGCTCCCGGGCTTTCTGCATCGACACATTGGCATGTTGAATGGTGCCAAGATCCGTTCCACGATCAGCTTCGACGATGACGAGGTCGCCTGGTTTCACCTGAAGTCCAGTGTCTTCTTGGATATAGAAAACATCTGCCCTATGACACTTGAATGTGACGATATACAAAAGCTGATTCTGATGCGCGAGACCCGGCTGGTGGCGTCCGTAGGCGTTCGGCATTGTGTATGCTTGATGAAGGGAAGTCGCCATGGAAGGACCCTCGGCACTGCGGAGGGCCTGGTCGCGAGCGAAATAGGATTCTGCAAATCGTCGAGCTCGTAAATACTCTGACTCCATTTCATGCTCCTCGGGGCGAGGGGCCGCATGAAAATGTGGATACTCACGGTTCTGGCCTTGCAAATTAGACAGAGGGCCATCAAAGTCCTCTTCCCGGTCTCCCAGCCCTGATCTTGTGCTCGCGGCTGCCTGTGGCTCGCCCGAGATGGAACCATGCCGAATAGGTATATCCGCAAATGAATGGCGTCGGCTCTGAGGGATCTCGGAAAAGCTACCAAATCCGAGGGAGGTCTGCCAATGAGCCTTGCGAACGTTCTCCAGAGCACGATTCTCGTAGTTGGGGAGCTGTTTCTCCAAGTTGATCGAGTGTTCGGACATTCTCCGGCGGGGACCGCCATGGAGGTTGTTGTAGCCAGGGATGTCCCCAACTTCGTCCAAATCCTCCACGGCAAGATCGGTCTCTTCCGGGACACTGCCGCGAATACGATGCAAGTTGTGAAGACCGCTTCCGATCGCATAGCCACTAGCTGCGGATGTTGTGGACATGGCACGGTCTCTAAAAGAGTTGTCGATTTGGCCAGCAGCTTGACGCAAAAGAGCGTTCTCCCTCGCAAGCTGTTCGATTGTGCGGGCTTGGTTGGCGGCATAGTTGCTGAAACTACCATCCGAGCCATCCGGACTTCCAGTCTCGTCGTCTTCGTCTTCGCGCACACGTCCGAGAGTGGCAGGATCATGGCCAAGCTCGCCAAGAAGGCTGGGACGAGACGGCCGGTGTTGGAGGGAGGTGTATTGGCCGCCATTGCGGGCTCGTCCTCCAGAGTAGGGAGAGGCCGACTTATTCGCCATGAGACTCAGAAATTCAGGATCTAACTGGCCGACGGAATATGACTGTGAGCGGTAAGTCTTGGGAGTCGGATGGAGAGGAATCGAGAACGGAATTGCAGCCTCTCCAGCGGTTGTACGAGTAGGGCTCAGTAGCTCCTCCGTGAAGTAGTTATTGGCGGTGGATGGATTAGACATAGTCGGGGAAGGTATGATCTCGGTAAGGCGGGGCGGTGGCTCTTTTCGAGACTCGGTATTCCAGATACCAGTGCCCCAGGCAAAGGTATTATTCCCAACATTGTTCCAGCCCATGGAGCTACCAATCCCAGGACTCGTGCTGCTCGGCCATCCCGCTTGGTCGGTAGCTGGGCTGCTTGGGTTGGAGGCGCCAGAAGAAAGAGGAAGGCCGGTCAGGGAGGCTTTCCGAGGAGCAATAGCAGGAACTTCATTCAGCCAAGAGGTACGACGAGCAGGCTTCGCTGTTGGGGCAGTCGTAGGCGCAATAATATTGTGAGGATGATCTCCATCATCATCTGAAGAAGCGAGAGCTTCTGAATCTGGAGTTGAGCGACGAACACCAAGGTGGGTCTTCTCCAGTCGAGCAGAGACATTGTTTGTCGGCGGCGGAGAGGAGACCGACTTAGGGGTCTGAGGGGTGGGTTTGGTCGATTGTGCAGCCATGATTTCTTATTTTCTGTAGGCCTGTGTTAGACGTAAGGACTGTTTGCCGTCTGATGAGCAATGCGACAGGACGAGACGAGCACTGCGCATTGAGTTTCAGTTAGCAGGGTACAACATCGCCTGAGCTCAGAGAATTCGGATGCTCTAATGGGACAGAATGAGACGGAGTTGAATGAACAAATTGGTAGAAAGAGCGGAAGGTCATTTGATTACTTGCAGCGACCGTTCACAACATTGGTGCAAGTGAATACGACCGAATGCAACTTACCGAAGTTGATAAAACTGACGTCAGGGAGCAAGGGATATTGGCCCCCGCAATGAAAAAGTGTGGGGTATGTCCCTAATCGAGCGTTAGTCGAAGGCGAAATAAATGGATGAGATCTGTAGTCACCTGATCTGGGCTGGGACTCGCTTTGGATAAAAAGTAAATACAAATTCGCCCAACTCTATTAGGAGCACAAATACTCTGCCCGAAAATACTATCTCTCGCGAAGAAGAGACAAGGCTGACCTCCTGTTCTGTCGCATGACTAATTAGTAAAGTCTGGTTTGACGACAGGCTATGAATAACTCATCCATGGCAAAATCCATGGTAGAAGAAGGAATGATAAGTTAGGGGAACAAAGACTGAGGGAAACAAGGTCTTTGATGAAATGTGCGCGACATGAATGGGAAGTCAAGAGAGTAAGACTATAGGTGAAGCTCATGTAAGCTGGGGAGCAGCTGCCGGTGGCGAATCCGGAACCCATTGAATCGGGCAACCACTTTTGAGATGTCCCCACACCATAAGGTATGACCGACCGAACAGGTCGAATGCAAGCTTCACTCTCAGCTCTCGTGTTATGAATAGAATCAAATCATAGGCTCGGGTACATCAGTGCAATCCTCTTCCACTGTGCTGTCCAGACAAAGCTGTACAATGAACGGTTGGAGGACAAACCCCCATACACTGAGAGCGGAACACTTGCAGTGTTGAGTATGCGCAAACACAGCCGTCCAATGAACGCCAGAGTCTGGACCTCACAAAAAGCAACAGACTGACATACCCCGGTATGATCGTGATATGCATAGAAGAAAAAAAAAGAGAAAGAAAGAAAAAAAAACCATCTCATGCGCAGATGGCACGCGATGGCGATTCTTGCGAACCTTGGCAACATACCTTGGAGTTCAATAAGCCCAAATTGAATTCAAATCCGAAACCCGTATCACTGACTGTCCCAGACAGGAGTAAATCGCAATGATTCGTGATCGCGTCTGTTGGCGCATCCCTCATTATGAGCACATACCCGAGACAATGGACGTAGCCACATCCGACTTACCAATCTATGTAGAAGATTAAACTTTTCTTTATGTTCTATCCAACAAAAGCAACGCAGCAATTCCCCGACCGGATTGTTGTTTCGATGATAATGTAGAAATCGTGTTTCGTACGAAGCGACCAGGCTTCTTCAGTCTATACGAAGAGGATGATGTGTAAATCGGTGCTGTGCGACCGGTTGCAAGAGGAGAAAGGATGTATGTCGCAAGTCGCACGGGACGGATCGACGGATTTTTTTTAATATGTGCTTGTTTGCCGCTGGAGATGCGTTCGCAGTCTGAAGTTGGGCTGTAGTTCTGGCCGTGGCGCGAATCTGGTCTATGTGGAGGATGAGCTTCGAGTCGCGACGGGAAGGATCACCAGGTGCGTGAGATCAGGGATGGGTAGTATGACCATAGACGAACGACGTTGAAAAGCAACTGGCTCCGGTAATTCTGGGCAGAATGCCTTTAGGAGCAGCGCATTTTGAAACTGATCACGGCAGCGAGGAAGCGGCAGGCGTGGGAATTGTAGAAAAGGAACTGTTTTCTGACTCCACTTGAATTAGCACGTTTTGAAGGAGCGAAGGAAAGGTCTATAGGTCTAGCGAAGTGAATAAAGAAAGAGGAAGATTGACGGAGGAGATGATGATGGTGAACGACGTACCGAGCGCCGAGCGGCGTAAATTGCACAGACGTTTGGAGGGGATAAAGTGGGAAAGCGGGCTTCTGCAACGTTGCTTGATCGATGACGATCGTCGGGGGGAATGTGTGGAGTGAGGTGGTGGTGGTGGTGGTGTGACCGGAGGTACCTTATCGTTCAGGGCGGGAAGGGAAATCAAGAAAGAGAAGATTGAAGGGCAACAAGTTGGGTTTCAGATGTAAGTAAGAAAGAGGGAGAGGGGAAGAGGAAGAGAGATAGATGTAAGAAAAAAAGAGGAAGAGAAGGAGATGTGGGAATTATCAGGGTAGAAGAAAAATGAGGAGAAGGGAAGAGAGGTTGTACAGTCGTAAGATGCGTAAGTCGCGAGTGGGCTGGGTCAGGATGCGAAGGGGAGGATAATGCAAGCTAAAGGGAGGAGGGAGAGCTGCTTCGTTCGACTTGAAATGAACCTCAGGCCACTTGGACTGGAACACGAAAGGAGGAGGCGACGGCGGGCGGAGGAAGAGAAGGAGGAAGACGAGAAGACGAGCCACGGGTCGGAGGGACAGCCCAGCAGAAAGTGGCGCAAAGTGAGTGGTCAAGAAGCAGCTAAAACTGCTAACTACTAAAGGCCGGAGGGAGTTTAGTTCAAGAGGCCAGTCAGGGTAGGGATGGATGGGTGAATGGGTGAATGGGTGAATGATGAGATGAGATGAGATGGGATGAAATGGGATGGGATTGTCCTTTAGCTCCTTCCTTATGTCTACTCATCGGTTCGCTTAATTGTCTATTCTCTTTTGCTGTCTTTTCTTTCTTTCTCTTTCGCAATTTAGACCTTAGTCTACCACAGTCGTCATTCTACAATTCAGATCTGGTACCATTATATGATATACCTTCCTGCCTCGGTCCCGATCTCATTTCGAATCCGAACCAGCTGGAGGATGATGGCCCGGTACTTTTTTTCTACAGCTCCAAGCACACTAAACCACGGCTAAGGGGCAACCAGCTCGCTTTGGGGCGGGGTAGCAAATCGACGGGAGTCTAGATACCCTCTGGAGCCAAGGGCCACACGGGAGGGGTAACAATGACCGTGACCGAGGCACTTGGGTTATGACGGATTGACTTTCCGGACGAGTAATTGATTGATGGATGAGCAGGACGAACGAATAAAGCAGCACATCAGACAAAAAGAACAGAAACATGACAGGCAGCAGAGCAGAAGCTCGGCCATCGATGGAACACCCGCAAGTGGGCCGGCGGCGGGCCCCTCCAGCAACTAACATCGATCGCCAGATGCTCCGGCCATTATTTCTTCTCTGTAACCCCAGCAAAAGTATATTCGCGGACACCTTCGGTGACTTCCCTCCTTTCACTCTCCTTCTTCCCCTTATTCCCTTCTCACGTACACCTTCTCTCTGAGACATCTTAGCAGCACCAATCGGAACTCTATCAGGAAGACCAGCAGCAGGCTATGGTTGAATCTGGATCAACCATCGTTGGAATTCTTCGGCGGAACGAGCTACGTGCGAACCAGAACGATAGCCTCTTCAGAGAGCGTGGACCGAACGGACTGTACACAAATGACACGGATTAACCAAACTGTCCTACTCAATTGGGTTCAGAGTGAACAAAGAACCTGTCCCCGCGCTTATGCCATCACCCCGAGCCAGCCCAACCGCATCTTACATCAGTGTGGCTGGTAAGGAAGAAGAGAATAAATGACATTGTGCAGCAATGCAGAATCCTCATGCATGCAATAAGACGAGTGATGGTAATATTGCAGTATTCGGAATACTCTCTTTTCCAGATACAGTACTTTTCCAACAGAGTTCATCCGCCCGTCTGCCCAAGAAAGAACCTTTCAGGGGGGGTTCAGGACCGGTTGGGTGTCATCAGGGACAACTCGTCAACGTCATTCTGGCGTCGGAGTTTCACAAGCATGAGAGCTTTAGGGAAAAAATAAAAGAAATGTGGGTATGGAACCATCAATAATAATAGAGTCAGCAATCAACCGGGAGCTCCCTGCCCCTGGTTCAACCCATCTGCTTCTCCTGCGTATGAGTAAGTTAGCATTAGGTACGGAGTACAATACGTACAGTACTTCACCTCCACCCACGTACTGACACTAAAAACCACCTCCACCAGACGTGAGCCGTGCCTGCGTTACATAATGACCACACTACGGACGCCATGCGTCGGATTGCGGGGGGAGAATCAGAGGCCCCAAATGCTCACCATCATGGGAGGAAAGGGGGGGGGGGGGCGGGGAGTGGCAATTCATTGGTCTCTCTATGGCCCATGCAGGATCGCCTCCGTCCGAAAGTGCGGAGAGAGCTTTCCCGCTTTGAGAAACCGCCCGTCAGCCCTCCGTCTTTTTGCCTTTTGCCCCCAGCATGCATCATCGCATCAACTCGACTCCTCTCCTCTCTTCTCAGTTTCACACCTCGAGTTTCATCTGGAGCATAGGCAGAAATGATTCATGGACTTTGGAACGTGGTGAGATGATGGCAGTGGTGAACAGAGTTCGCGCAAGTTGAAAGAGAAACTGATAGTGAACCGGTCTCCATCCGTGGTACTCGGACTCGTCGGCATTTACGACCCAGCCTCTCAAAAGCGATGGGGGTGTTAAACCCCGGTCCTCCCAAGGCAACTGGTTACACTTGCTCACTACGAGCGTGAGCCACCACCACCACCACCACCACCACCACCACCACCACAAGCAAAGCAAGTCTAAACTCCACTCCACTCGAGCGAGATGGAAATCAAACAACTCTCCATTCCCTCTTATCCAACTGGTTCGGATTATCAGAATGTGCACCCCTCATATATGCCAGTGGTGAGAATCTACAGTCAACCCGGACCACAATCCAAAGTCAGGTGAAAAGCTCGCCACACCCTACCCACTATGTGGCTTCTCCGCAACCCATGGCATACTGCCTCTTTAAGTGCCAGCCAAAAACCAAAAACTATATTATGACTCAAAAGCCGCCAGGTACCACCAGAGTCAGAGTATCCTTCTCGCCTTTCCTGTCTCGAATAAGGTAGGGTTTATGATCGCACGCCTCCCTTCGGATCCGAGGCGTGGCAGTTGTCCCTCTGGCATGTACATGTACTGTAAAAGAAATGTCGTCCAGCCTAGACCACAGCACGGCAGCATCCATTTTGCGGACGGAAGGAGCATGACCATCTCACCGAGCCCGAGCTTCATTGGCGGGCAGAACCTACCGCTACCTTAGGACCTAGTACAGTAAAACACACATGTGTGTCCACCCTTTCTCCCAGGGTGATCCCATTCCAAAATCCAATGCCATTGACCTCTGCCCTCTGCCCTCTGCCCCTCCAGACATAAGGCATGATGTCATACCTCCTAAGGGATTCTCGACATCGACGTGAATGGCTGTTCGAAATGGAGGGTGCAAATGAGAGTATGTCCGGAAGGACAATGACACCACGCTACGGAGCACACGTCCGTACACCCCATACTTTGGCTCGGCAGCAGACGGTCGTCACTAGCCTCGACACTTCCCCGGGTTTGGGAAGGTGTTAGTTCGAAAGCTTAGCGCTGGACCATGAGTAGAGAAACGTCAGATTGAAGACTAAATTGATCCTCCGGGTCGGTAGATGGAAGAATGGGATGAATTCCTTCCCCCCCCCCCCCTCTTCCCCTCGGCGCCTCGGCAGAGTGCCGAGTATAGCAAGCATAAGCATACTGTAGGTTTTTGGGTGGGGTGGCTACTGCTGTACTGTTGGGCTAGGCTACGTGCTTGAAGTTAAGATGGTTACACGGCTTCCGTGGAGATAGCAAATCATGAAGAATTGGGGAAAGCCCCGCTGTTCCTATTCGCATGGGCATGGCATGAAGGGGCTTTTTCCTGCTCGAAATGTATGGCATGGCTTTGGGCTAGGGTTAGGAGGAAACTTTTTGCAGAGGTAGAGTTTGGGGTCTGCTTTAGTTCATCTGACGTCTCTCTATCTGTCTTCGACAGCCAGAAGAGACAGACAAATGCAGGTACAGCACCAGGTGTGTACAGTACCTCACGATGCGCTAGCTAATACTTCTGGGAGGTCCTGAATAAAGTTTTTGAGACTGTGTAGAGTAGTTCCATCTAGTCTAAGCCACATAACATAACAAAGAATATGCCCGGTATATATCCAATCTTGCAAAAATAAAAATACAGAAAGTCTGCAGTGCCGCCATTAAGGAGCCGAATCCAACGTCCCCTTGCCCCCCGTCGAAGCCGTAGCATCGGGCCCCTTCTGCTGACGCAGCTTCTGCTCGAACTTGGCGAATTCGTGCATCGAGATCTCCTCCTCGGGGTCCATCACCTGCTCAACACCTTGGACTTCCTCGATCTGTTTGCCAGTTCATTAGCCAACTGCCCACGTTCTCAGTGGAAATGAAAGGGAAGAAGGGAGGAACATACGTAATGCATCAGCATAGACTCAATCCCATTCTTCAGCGTCACCGTGCTGGAGTCGCAGGTTCGGCAGGCACCGCGCAACTTCAGTAGGACGATGCCATTCTCGAAACCGCGGAACTCGATGTCGCCGCCGTCCTCCTGGATGGCCGGGCGGATGCGCGTGTCCAGCAGTTCCTTGATCATACCGACCACCTCGTCGTCCTCCTCGTCGAAGCGCAGCGAGTCCACCTCCTCGCCTTGCGAGGCCTCGCCGCCCGCCTTGGCGACCGTGTTGACGATCGACTCGCCCGACGTCACGGCCTGCGTGATCAGACTGAAAACCTCGGGTTTGATGTGCGCCCAGTTGGCGTCGGCGGCCTTGGTGACGGTGATGAAGTCGGGTCCGTAGAAGACCGAGGTCACGCCCTCGACGTTGAGGAGCTGCGCCGCCAGCGGGGACGGGTGCGGGGGCGCGAGGGTCGAGCGTGGGGAGAGGTATTCGAGGAAGGTGGTGGGGAAGTTTTCGGGGAGGACGCGGTGATTGGGGATGAATTTGAGAGCCTGTCATTTATGGTTTGTTAGATGGTCGTTCACGATACCTTTAGTCGGTCGAAGGGGGGAGAGCGGTACGTACATCAGGGTTCGGGGTGTTCTCCGTCTGGATGAATATCGTGCGCTTGCTCGTCGGCGCCGGGCCGTTCACTCGCGCCTGCACGAGGGAATGGTGGTGAGGTTGCAGAGTAGGCCGGCGACGGGTCTCGGAGGGAGTGATCGCGGGCAATCGTGCGGAACGGTGGACGCTGCGGTAGGATCCAAACACCGCCGGCCGGGCGAAGCGCGAGGCCTCGAGAGCGCTGCTGCCAGCACCGCTCGTCAATTTGCTGCCCAGCAGGGCGGTGCGTCGAAGCATGGTTCTCCCGGATGTAGAGCTGACAGACATGGTGTGCAGATTTGATTGATTTGAGAGGCTTTGAGGCGCAACAACTGGTCGAATGGTCTTCCGTTGGTGGCTAAAAACCGTTCTTCGGAGATGCTGAGAGATGGAGGACTGATCGATAATACTTTCTTCCCCGACCGCTCGGCCTCTGACGCAATGTGCTGCACGTGACCTCCGCCATAGAATTGATGACAAACTCGGGACTGTCGGTGGCCAATCACAATCTTACTGTTTGACATCTTTTGCCGATGCCGGGAAAGCCCCGGTTTGAAAAGTCTAGATTATACTGGGCAATGTGTGATTCGGGATTGGCCAGAAAGTGTCACTTGGATTGATACTACTTGTAATTCGCATAAGTAGATGACTGAATGCCCATGTCTATTTTACGCGGCATCGTATATCGCTGTGGCGACAGCCTCTCAAATCTAGACTTACGCATGTTTGACTGCATGTAAACATCAATGAGATTATCATCTCCAGGATGTGGACATTTAGTACCACAGATCACGAGTGGCGAGTCGACAGCAGTTAACCTCTAGACATGTTATTGAGGAAGTCGGATACTTCCATGCCTAGTGCATGACTGGGCGGAAATCTCACTGTCATGGTGGCTGCCCAGAGCTGTCAGTCGAACAGCCGCAACTAAAGTCGATGGAATTGTGGTTGTCTTCTGTTTGTGAACAAACGCGTCAACTAAGTGTATGATCGGCTGTAAGGCGGCCGATGATCTTAGAAGCTAGTCGACCACCAGAAAACAAGAGGACTCATTCAATCCTCTGGAAATCGTGCGATTCCGCGCACCTCGTGGAAGAGAAGTGATAAGAATCAGTCGATACGTCAGTTGAGAGACGCATATTGCGCGTGAAGAAGCCGACTGAGTAGTGAAGACAAACAGTCCTTCCAAGCTTATGCTGCCTCGAGGCAGCAAATGCGGGTCTACCCAGCCGGTGGAAGAAGACCTGTGTAGCTGACCACCCCTCCTCGACCCCCCGGTCGAGCGACCTGCCAGCCTGTCGGTAAGTTCTTCTACGGGCTCAGGTTGCACCGCGCCACACGACGGGTCTATTTGCAAGGTCATCACGCAACCACTCTGTTTAACATCCGCCGCTCGAAGCTTGCACGACGGCAAGCGGCCTGTTAATTGACCCAGAAGGTCAAGGAAACTCTGACAGACGGTGGAACAACTTTCCGGCCACGGCTTTCTTTCGTTTTTACCCCGACACACCGATTGGTGGTTGTTGTTGCAGCCCTTGTTACATGTGCAATCCATGCGATGAGTTCCGGGGCGATGAGTGGATCGATTCATGCTCTCATCAGATTCCAGCAGGGTACAGCGGTATCCATGATACTGAGGCAAGCGTGGGTTTCCCACCAAGCGGTGGGAGCTGAGAATTTCTCTGTCAGAGGCGCGATGGCTTTAGCCCAGGAGTAGGCCTCTCCCTAAAGAAAGCTCAGGGAGAGTTTTCAAGCTCTTTCTACCATGTGCTGTCTTGCAGATACCGCACGATATAGGGGCTAGTAGTTGTCAAGCAATAGCATCATTCGATTGAGTCTTTTTGGGTTGATGTTTTGGCGAAATGTTGGATCATGAAGCTCAGAAGAGGAAGCTGTAAAGTCATATATGTTCAAACGCTGGTTCCTTTACGGTCCGAAGTCCTGATAAGCGTTCGTTACCCTGGGACATGATTCAGATCCCTGGATGTATGCGAGTCTAGGTATCATTTATATTTGCTTTTCAGCTTGGGTCAACGGTGTAGGCTGTGATGACTCCCTGTAGTATTCGCAATAACACCGAGTAGCACATCACGTTATATTGACAGCGCGGCGAGTGTGACCGCCTTCCCGAGAAGACCGCGCTAAGCCCAAAATATTCCCTCTGGATGCAACTTGCGGCAGAGCACATGGTCGAATCTTTCCCCCGTGGAGATCGAATCGACCCGGCGTGACATTTCTGCTTGGTTCACCTTTCGTTGTGACCGGCTTCCGCAGGACGATGGTCCCCAAGGTTCATTTATAGCGCTACTAGCACGCCTCAAGACTGCGAAACAGACGGGCAATAAAATGCCGGGCACTTGCGAGGTCTGCGTGTCGGAGCCCTCCAAATACCGATGCCCGACTTGCGGGTTGATGAGGTATGTGAGCAAATTTCTTCTCTCGCGATGTCTCCAGGCAGTGCAGGATAAAGGAAACCTCTGTGGTCCCGGACAATTACTTATTGTAGTCTTCTAGTTGCTCCCTCGCATGCACTCAATCACACAAGATCTACTGCGCCCCGAAGGCACTGCCGCCGAAACCGTCGGAAGACCAAGGACCCTCAGCTGCAGCCAATGGAGACACCCTCGAGGCTGAAATTCCTCAGACGGAGACCAGTCTCGATATCAAGTCCTTAGGCACCTCCAGTCAGCTCAAGGAGCTCCTCGATCGCTTTCCTTCTCTGCGGGATCAGCTGCAGGACATCTACCAGGCTACTTTAGAGGAGGAATGGCAAGAGACCCAACCGTACGCCGGTCGGCCCCGGGGCTTTGGGACAGGCAGAGCGACGCATCGTCATCGCGGACCGTGGACGCGTGAGAAAGGGTTCAACCGGGGAGTGGGCAAGGTCAGAAAGCTTCGAGAACGATGCGAAGAGGGGGATGAAGTAGGCCAGAAAGCAGAAGGCTATATGCGCTTCATGGCCTTGATCACGGGGAATCAGCTACCTGAGGCTGCATGAGAATGTGCCTGTCTGGTTTTGTTGGTGCGTCTTGCAACGAGAGGCAAGGTGGCAAACTACGCTTCCCACCGGAAAGGTGCCAAGACTGCACGCAGTGCAGTTTTGAGCTTGGCCAGCCGACCAGCTCGATGCTGCTTCACCTAGCAGTCAGCCGCCTTGCTTCTCGCCCTCGGGGACACGTGTGGGCAAACTAGCTGGAGACGGCGGTCTTGTCCGACGAGTTACGACAGCAATCCCATCACAAAAGCCGCGTGTATATAGTTAAACAGTATAGCCTCACTCGAAGGCCACCGCAAAGCAATCGAATTCAAAACACTCGCCAGGATGGCCAAAATGAGGAGATACCACGTGTTCTGTCGCGTAGACCTGACTCAGCATGGAGCTACATGCGATAGTTTGTCGACCAGATAAGCTGTTTTTGCCGCCACGCAGGCCGATCGTCGTGGATGGAGCAGTCAAATGATCATACCCCGTAGGTAATCCAGACTCTGGGGAATACTAGAGGGCCAATGGCTGCTCGTATTGTGCGGATAATCTGGGGTCACCCTACCAATAGCATAATTGGGATTGCCCTGGTCGCCGGTCGCATTTCTAGGGGTTGAAGATCAGGCTGTCCATGGACATCCACCCCGAGCGATTTACCCGCACGAAAAGTGGGAGCGGGGGAGATCGCTGTGGATGGATTCCTTCTCCGTATTCAACGGAGTGATCGTGTACTGTACTCAAGTAACTCAAGTAAGGTTAGGTAGTCACTGCCGCGGTCGTCCATGCCGACCAACTGGGATTCGCCGCAGGTTTAATCTAAAGGAAGGATTTTCTGCTCTTTAGAAATAGATCATGTCACAATTTTCCCAAATGGTGGCTGATTCTTGGCTCGAGTCGCGTACATTGTTGGGAGGTGGTGGTTGTTGGAAAGAGGAACGGAGGGGGATGTGATTGGGATGAATTGGATTGTCGGGGGATGGAAACCAAAGGGAAAGCTCGCAACTTTGGACTTCCCGTAGCTCGCACTCTAACAATTACCTTTGACTACCTTGACTACCTTGACTACCTTGACTACTGCCTCCGTCCGTGACTCTTACTTCCTTTCTTCTCTTCACCGATAGTCAACCCCTCTGTTCCCTTATGTCCGCCCCCCTGTACGACCAGACAGGATTATTCGGCGACCAAGTACCGAGTGTCCGTCAGTTCATGTCAGTTCATGACTACTAGTACTATGCCTCGTGTTGCTAATTTTAATTGCAATCCTCCGCAGTAACATTAGTTAGTTAGCAGCTACGTATCTAGCTAACTAGCCAGGTAGGACTAGGCCCCCAGAGGCCTCTCCCTCCCGTCGACCTCTACTGCCCCGTCGGCCCCCAGTTGTCACTACTACTATCAAGTGCTGTACTAGACCACCTAACGACTGTGTGCTGTCTATCCGTCTCCTCCGATTTTCGTCTCTCCTCAGTCTTCTTTTTTTTCTCTTCTCTCCCTCCAGCCTCTTCCCTGCCCTCTCCGATCTAATTGTACTGTACCCATCGCCGACTCGGTACCTCCTCCTTTTTCCATCTTCTGCCCTCTCCCTCTTTCCCCTCCCCCCTCCCTCCTCCTCCGCATCATCCTCTCAACAATCTGTTCAATAAATCTCTCGTCAGACTGTGCTACCTCAGTCTGCTTCCCCCTCCTCTCCTGCCTCGAAATTGTGAATCGTATTCAATCCCTCGAGGGGGCTCAGCTGGATTACTACCTAGGAGGGATCTTGTTACGGCTACAGAAGAGACCAATCAGAAGCGGAAGAGAAAAAAAAGAACATCCTCCGGGCCAGACAACGGGCGGCGGAAAAACGACCAAACAAAAGATTCCCTTCCCCTTCGACTGAAACTGGTCCTACGCATTACTCCAGCCCCCCTCTAAGATCATTTATTTTATTCCATTTCATTTCTCGAAAATCTTCCGTTTGATCAATTGATTGCGGTACAAAGCGGATTTCAATTGCTGATCCTTCCTCTACCGACCTTGTGCGAGCGACAATGGATGAGCTGCTGTGTCCGCCTCCCTCACTTACCTAGCCGTTGAAACCTCACGCTGTCGCACCTTGTGTGTTTGCTCGATCGGACCCTCATCTGCCCCGCGACCACCCTCTACCCGTTCGCGCACTGTCCTCCCCCCCCTTGAACGACCCCTCATGAATTCTCAACTTCCGAATAGAGAGCGAGCGGTATCTAGCGATAGAGCCGAGGCTGCGCCCGTCCCGCAGAGACCGGGGCTCCTCAACCGCACCATCTCCGCTCCCGCTGGGGGCCTATATAAGCTCGATTCGGCCAGATTGGCCATGGACTCGATCAAAACGGAGCGGACTCTGGTGGAGGAAGATGAATCATTGCCCTCGGCGGGAGGGAACAGAACCTCATCCGCTCCCCCGGGTGAACAAGTGAGCCGGTTCCTTTCACCGTGGTTTTATTTCATGCGATTTTTACTTTGACAAGGTTGTCTGACACTCAATGCCATTGCAGATGAAGCAGCAACTACTTAACTCAAACGGAGGAAATGGGATTCCGTCAACTCACACCGGCAATGAGGTGAACCTACCCTACGAATACGTTTTGCGGCATAGCTGACCATGGTCTCTGATGCAGCCCGCCCCGAAACCGAATTTCCCACACGTGAGTATCGCCGTGGTTGGCCCAGATCATGTGGGTAAATCAACTTTCATTGAAAGCGCACTGGATATGAAACACTCGCTCTCATCCCGGGCAACGACAAAGAAGATGTCCCTTGATGGGACGGTTTACCTTGTTCGGTTACTGGAGATTGATACACTGGAGATCTCGATTGGAAGCAATGGTGAGATCCAATGGCCAAGATTAGGAGGCGACTCACCTCCTTCCGTGGACGGTGTGCTTGTTCTCCACGACGTAACACAGCCTGGGAGCCTTTCCAACATCAAAGGATTGCTAGGTTTGTTCTCTTGTTCCGAGCTACAAGAGTATCTCGATCGAGATGGAGATTTGTATGCTAACGGTTGCAGCCTCTCTGGACGCCTCATCCATACCCTTTCGACTGGTCGCAAGTAAATGCGACATTCAACCGCCCCATGGTCTACTTGAGCCAGTCTTAGATGGCTATGAGATCCTCCGCACCTCCCCCGATTCGCCACGGTCGCAGAAAATGTGCATCGCTCTGGTTTTGCGATCAGTCATCAGCGAAAGGATTGGTAAGTGTTTCAGTGCAAATATTATTTTTTCCTTTCCCCTGGGTCTAGAGTCGAGTCCACATTATCGGCGGCGGTCTGCACTATAAGTGCTGTCTGTATACCCACGGTGTCTCTGTCTCGCATGACTCCATGAGTCACCCAAATTATCCACTTTTCTCCTGATTATGTCGGCTGTGGCCCGTCCATAGCAATGGTCCACCGCATGTCGCGCTAGCTCGCGGCTCGGCTGCGCCTAGCGTTCGCGTTCGGACTTCGGAGACCCGCCCGTCCCCAGAATGCAGGCGCAGCAGCAACAACGCCACCCCGATTTCCCTTTGAATCTTCCGACTGGCCTAGAACCTTCTGTGTCGATTGCTAACTGCTGCTCGTAGCTGAAGAGCACTCTTCTGACAAGACGGTCACACCGGGCTGGCGTCATAGCCGTGCCAACTCAGAAAACCCCACAGCCATGTTCTCGGGAGCCGCAGGCGGCCCAATGACAGGAGCTCTGGCCTCGGGGATCGATGGGTACGGTGTAGATCGTCAACTGACCGACTCAACCGCCTCTAATGGCCAGGGCCCGCGCTATGCCCGGAGCAATTCTCAACCTCTACGACCTCACACGCCTCCCTCGGGACGACTCAATCAGCGCAAGCAATCCATCCCGGGAGAGTCATCGCCCGGCAAGGACTTTAACCGACAACATCGACTTCATGCCGCCTGGCGCAACAGTGGCGGATCGGACGCTTTCAGTAGCTTTATTGAAATGGGGGAAGAGATGGACGGGCCCCGAAGCATTCCTTCGAGTCCCGGAAGCAAAGACAAGACACCGAGTGAGAGCTCTTCCAATGAGAACGGCTTCACATTCGAGGAGCTGGTTGACCGGCTGGTCGCACAGCCGATGTCGAAGCATGACTCCAAGTTTGCATCCATCTTCCTGTGCTTGTACCGCAAATTCGCCGCCCCTTCCTCCTTATTGACCGCCTTGATTAACCGGTTTGAGCGAAACGAGCGAGAGATTTCGGATCAGCTTACGCGCATTGCCGACCAATTGAGACTGCTAACCGTCATGGCTCAGTGGGTGTCGGAGTACCCGGGTGACCTGGTTTATCCCAAAACGCAGAAACGGATTGCCGAGTTTGTTGCCAACCTCGAGAAAAGCCATTTTTACATGTTTGCTGCCAAAGAGATTGGGTCTTATCTTGAGGCCAATGCGGAAGATGATAATATCGGGTGGCCGTTCAGAGATGGCGAGGTAGAAGAGGTCGAAGCAACCGAGCCCGCTTTTCAGTATTCGGGTCGAAGCTCCCCGTCGATCTTCCTCGGACCCCCTCCGCTGAGCGATGAGGGTGATGAAGAGGAAGAGGATCCTATCTACAGTATGAGTGCGTTGGACCTCAGTGAGGGCGCACTTGAGTCAGGGTCGAGGATGTCCGCGTCCATGTCGAATTCTTTCACCGCCGAAAAGCCCGGGACTGTGGCAAGTCAGTCGTTTACGGCCTTGAACATCGACTCGGCCCAGAAGGAGGCTCGGCACTTAGATCTGACACCCCGCGTGCCGTTGACGAAGGTGCAATGGCGACAATTCATGGAAATTCCTGATGAAGATTTTGCTCGTGAATTGACGCGCATTGATTGGATTATGTTCAACTCCTTCCGACCACGAGACCTTGTCCGTCATGTTAGCATCACCGGTGCCGACAAGGACAAGATCCACAGCCTCAAGAACGTCAACCGAATGATCAAACAGTTCAACCACGTGGCATGCTTTGTTGCGAGCGTCATTCTCCTCCGGGACAAGCCTAAACACCGGGCCAAGGCGCTGGAGAAGTTCATGAACATCGCATTTGTAAGTAATGGGGAGTGTGCCTTGTTTGTGTGCTGCAACTAACCTTACTGGGTAGAAACTCCGACGACTGAATAATTACAACTCCCTTGGGGCTGTCATTGCCGGGATCAATGGAACCCCGGTACACCGACTCTCGCAGACTCGGGAATTGGTGCCGACGCAAACGCAAAAGGACTTCATGAGGCTGGTCATCCTCATGGGAACACAGAAGAGCCACTTCGCCTACCGCCTGGCATGGGACAACTCATTCGCAGAGCGAATCCCGTTCCTGCCGTTGCACCGACGCGATCTGGTTTCGGCGGAGGAAGGAAACAAGACATTTGTGGGTGACACGAAGACGCGAATTAATTGGCGCAAGTTCGAGGTGATGGGCGAAGTGGTGCTGGGGATCCAACGGAGCCAAAAGACACCCTATCCACACCTGGCGCGATTCGACGAAGTGACGCGGCTGATTTTAGACATCAAGCTGTCTGGTGATGACGAGGTATGTTTTTTTTTTTTGCCAGCGTCTCAAAACAGAGAGGATCTGACAGAGAACAGGATTTGTATACACGCAGTATGCAGGTCGAGCCCTCCGCTGGCGGTGACACCGGACGGAAGAAGTTTGGCTGGTTGCGGTCCTAATGGGACGCGAGAGCGTATAATGACCACTACGGAGATACAGCATGCGCATGAGTGCAGGCTGACGAGGACCATGAATGATACGATCGTCGGTTTGATGATGTACATACATACAACATACATACATACATACATACATACATACATACATACATACATATATACACTTTATTGTAAGACATCATGTACTCAGTATTCCCCGTTACTAGATAGCCAGGCTAGCTATTCTTGAACCACGTTTTTCACTACGTACAGTACAGTATAATTGATCCGGGGGGACGAATTGATCACGTGAAGCTAACCGGCCCGAACCTCGCCCTCCGATAACAACCTCCGTAGAACTAGAACTAACTTAAGGCTCTTAATGCTGCACAGGTTCAGAATCATACCTCTCTCTAAACAACCACAGCATCCACCTACCTTCCTGAACACCTCAAAACGAAATTCAAACCATCCACTCACCACCAACAAACCCACAAGAACACACCACTAAAAACCACACCCAACCTAACCCGCAACCGACCAAGAAAAAATGTCCGCCTCCGTAAAAACCACCTACCGCGCCCTCCTCCGCGAGCTGCCCCGACGCAGCCTGAACACCCCGACCCCGCTCCACGCGAGCATCCGGAAACTCTACGAAGAGCAGGTGGTGTCTGCATCGAAGATCGGCAAAAGTGGGGGCAGCGCCGACGCCGACGCCGCGCAGGACACGCTCGCCCACCGCCTGCAAGAGGCGGAGCAGTTTGCGCAGTACGCCCGCGCGCAGCGGCAGTACGCCGAGCTGGTGGAGCGATATAACCCTGGGAGCTGGTTGGATGAAGAGGAGCGGATTCGGTTGACGGCGAGGCGGGTGGGGTTGGATCTGCCGGTTGAGGGGAAGGGGACTGAAGAATGATTTCGATGTCTTTTTTCAAGGAGAAAGGAGGGGGGAGGCGGGGGGGGGGCGCTATTGGAAACTTGGGAAGAGGGGTTGAGGGGTGTGGTTGCGGGATTGTATATTATGTGGTTTTGCATGTGGGTTTGGAGTTTTGGCGGGGTTTAATTTTATTTCATTTCTTGTTCTATACTTATTTTTGGGGGTGTAGTTTATGTGTAGGTGGAGGTTGTGTTGCAGTGATAATTATCATATCATGTGTAGAGTATAGGTAGTAGTGGTATATGAGTTGCCTGTGGCTCTATCTTGCAGGTCAGGGTAGCGGACCTCTTGCTGCATCAGCTGGGATCCTTTGGCGGGATGCGTGACTGTCCTGTGGTGTACTGTGGATCAGGCGTTGTACCATCTATATTCATAGACCCAGTCACCCAGTTTATGTGGCATCCTTATCTTCATGTCTCGTCTCTCGTGCCTCATGACTCGGTGGTCTCGTCTCGTCTCGACCACACTTCGTTGACCTCACCCTCCCAGCTCGACCTTCTCCATCTGTCGCCGCAGCGTCGAGCTGCTCTCCTCCTCCTCCAGACCCACCTCCATCTCGATAGCCGTGCGCGGGCGGTTCTTGTTCAACCCCTCGAGTAAGGTGCACGCCTTGCACACCCGCTGACTGGAGATATACCCGCAGCGCTCACACTTGCCCAAGATCTGCGACTTGACTGCGGCCTTTCTTCGGTCTGCCTGCTTCTTCGGGAGCGATGACAGCGTCACCTCCGTCTCACGCTCGGCCGCGACCTCATCCTCGGCCAATTTCCTCTCCATCTCCGCCATCTCGCCGCCGCGAGTCCGCCCACTCCCACCGCCGCCCTGACTCCCACACCCGGTCGTCTCCGCCGCCTCCTCATCGGCCGCCGCCCCGCCCCTCACCTCCGCGGGCACCAACTCCGCCATCTCCTCGCCACTGCGCACGATATCCAGGATCGAACTGGGCCGGATCTTCTCCAGATCCTTAATCAACGTACGCGCACTGCCCCTAAACGCCTCAGGCGAGTAAATGCACTCGGTACTGAAATAATCCAACTGCTTGTGGTGGGCATACAGCACGATCTCCTTCTCGTAAGCATACTTGAGCGGCTTACTGCGCTTGATGTCACTCGCCGCGGAGCCGGTCACAATACTGGTACCCCTCGCCAGACGCGGCAGATCGCCGCGCAGCAGATTCATCATGACCGTCTCGGCGACGTCGTCGGCGTTGTGGCCCGTCACCACGTGCTGGATGCCCAACCGCTCGGCGCCGCGGTCCAGCGCCTGCCGCCGGAACACGCCACAGTACGTGCAGTTGCCCTTCTTGCCGACCTGCGCCACCACTTGGTCCATCGTCCAGCCGTACAGCTCCCCATATCCCAAAATCACGAGGGGCATGGCGTACTGCGTCGCGTTGCGCTTGACCGTCTCCAGGCTGTCGTCGCGGTAGCCCTTGATGCCCTCGTCGATCGAGAGCAGCGTCAGCTGCAGCCCGTAGTCGTACCGCTCGTTCAGCGTCTTCAGGACGGACGCCAGCACCGTGCTGTCCTTGCCGCCGCTGGCCCCGATCGCCACCCGCTCCCCGCGCTGGAATAGCTGCGTCGCCGTGATCGTCTCGTGGATCTCCGTCTCGAATACCCTCAGAAAACAGCCCCGGCACAGCCGCTGTCGGTTCTTCGGCCGGATGATCACCGCCCGGTCGGCGTGGCAGATTGCGCACGGCGTGGGGGGCATTTTTGGTGGTGTTTCTCTTGCGCTGAAGAGGGTTGTTATGCGTGAAGGGTGAAGGGTGAAGGGTGGAGGGTGGAGGGTGAAAGGGTTTGCTGGAGGAATCGGGTTGGTTTGGTCGAGTTGATTGGAGGGGTAAGAGTAGGAGGCAATTTTCTTGGAGAGCGCGGGTTGGCTTTGAGGGATGGAATTTCTTATCGATAAGACGGGGAGGAACGCTGGGTGGGTGGGGATTAGTCATGTGCTTTTTCTTCGGTGTGATTTGTTTGGTTGTTTGGTTGTTTACTGAGTGTGTAGAGTAGCCATGCAATGGCCCCTACTTCCAAGACAATATTCAGATCCTGATCATGCATTAATAAGTATACCCTGTAAGAATCATCTATAGGCAGAGTCCAAAACCAAACCACCGAGAAAAAAAAAGTGTCCGCCGAAAGTATAGTCTAATCTAGGACACACGTGTCCCCATAATATACAACATCTTCTGCTTTCATCTTTCATCTTACATTCACTCTATTGTGTCATCTCCCCAGGAAGAAACTTTTACATCTTCCCCTTCAGCGCGTTGGAGATCATCTCCCGCCCCGTGATGCGCGAGGTGGCCCACAGCGTCGGGAAGTCCAGCGTGCTGGAGAAGGTGTCGGCGTACCCGAAGAACAGCATGGGCGGGATCCAGCCCCGGGCGTACTCGAGCGCGAAGCACGAGGCGTCCATCTTGTACTGCTTGACCTCGCCGCGGCGCAGGTGGTGCACGCTGCCCTGCGGGTAGACCTCGGGCTCGTAGGCGCCCGGCACGTACGCCAGCTGGGTGCCCTGCAGGATGTTGAAGTAGTCGTCCGCGGTGTGGCGGCCGGTGTGGCCTTCGGTGCCGACGGCGGTTCCTGTTGGAGGGAGGTGGTTAGTTATGTGGTGGTGGTGGTGGTGGTGATGGTGAGGTTTATGAGGTTGGCTGGTTTGATATAGGGGAGTGGGGGAAGGGGAAGTGGGTGGGAGATGTTACCGAAAATGATCAGGTACTCCGTGATACCTATGGATTATAAATAGGTTAGTGGGATGAATGGTATATATGGAGTAGATTGAGATTGAGAGAGACAGGAAAACAACGCACTAGCGTGGATGATGTACATAGCGCCCATGGCACCGCCGGCATTGTTGAACACCCATTCCTCGTCGTGGTTGATGTGGGTGCCAGGGACCTTCTCGTCCAGCTCGGCCACAATGTAGCTCACAACGGAGCGGGTGTCGTTGCCGTGGGCGGCAATGGCGCGCTGGGAGAGCTCGTGCAGGTGGTCGGGGTCGAAGATGTAGAATTGCTCCAGCCGGGCGTTCAGGTAGTTGTACAGGCCGGAGAAGAGGGCCAGGAGGGCCACGGCGATGCTGATGGCGCGCATGGCTGTCAGAGAGGATATTGCCTGGCCAGGTGGAGACAACGAGAAAGACAGGGTATAGTGGAAGGAGAATAGGGCGGTGTTCAGTAACGTCAACCTCGAGTGACAGCAGCTTTGGTGTTGAATGGGCCGATGGATTGTTTTTCTTCTCCGAGTCCCGTAAAATCCCTAATCGGGCTTAGTGGTTGAGATCGAAGCTGGGGATGCTCGGCTTAGTAATCCCGTGTCTGTCCGTAAGGAGAATCTCGCAGCCTGAATTTAATCTACTCTAAGGCAACCACCAAGAAACATATTCTTCCAGGATGCTAACGCGAGCATATTGTTCTACTACGTACTCTTTTGTTCCTTCTCATGTCGAAAATCACGGGCAGACTGGATGCCAGTGGATACATGCTCTGGATACAAGCTCTAGACCCAGTTGCTCCATCTAGGGTCCGATTTAGTCTCGGTTCTCTGCTCCCACCGAACTCGAGGTGGAGATTGAAGGATATTAACGCATGTGCGCTGAGCCCCTGAATCCACGCCGCCAGCCAGTCGCTAAGCACTCGGCTTAGCCAACATGGTTGCAATAGAGTAGAGGCAAACTGCCGCTAGAAGACTTGACAGTCTGCAGCTAGTAACCCCAGGATTCTTGTCCTGTACGTAGTCAGGTTGCTATGCTGTGTTACTGCGTCTCTTCTGCACGTAAACACTTGGGCGGCGGATATATGTTTTGTCGAAGTGCACAGTGCCAGGGTCAATCCAGCGCTGTCTCCCGAAATAACGTAACAATCAGACCAAACCCACTCAACATCATGGAGGCGTTTTCGAAGCGTCTTCCACGGCTGTACCTCGGCCGCTCCATCAATGCTTAGCTCGCAGCCATCATGAGACAGGGGACCGTTAGTCTCTCTCCCAAGACTCCAAGAGTCGAGGACAAAAATCTTGTCCACTGCCAATTAAACTATACGTCAAGTCGGAACCTTGTTTGATGCTGCCGACCTGGTTTCAACCGCAGCAGTCATGGCCTCCGCGACGACATGTCTGATCTCTCCATGATTTGCAGAGCTGCCTCGATGTGCTGCTGATCTTCTTCCCTCCAACTCTCCCGACCATCGTAGGCTACAATCCAACCTCGTGCACGTGCAATAATCCTCTCTCCTCATCTATTCTCTCGACCCTCATCGTGGATACTATATGATATGAGCATTAATTATTCCCCTCTCTTCCGGTTTTTCCGTCCATAAAAATAGCCCAAGTCGAGGTCGGGCCTTCGATCGCCTTAATTACGCCCCGTTCTGACGAGGGCGGAATTGGTTCCTAGATCATTCCCAGATAATTTATCCGTCTTCTCCCCTTATCGCATTCGAAACGGCCCAGGGAAATGAAAGGTGACGAATCCACCGACTCCCCTGGTCTAAACCCGTCTTGACTGGATATGTCGAACGTTGTCCGCTCCTCTGCACGGAGCATCCCGTGGAACCGTTTCAAAAGAAGAAATAGCCCGGTGTTCGACCCTATCGGTCTTCTCCCTTGTGGTCCACCGGCTCCAGCGGGGACGGAGAATCCAGAAGGCTTCGCTCATGCTGACTGCTCAGGTCTCAATCCCCTTCCAAGATGGAGCAAGTTGGAGGGACTAATCCACCCCGTTGTTTCTGCTTGATTGAGGCCAAAGCCACAGCTCAGACGAACAGGCTTCCCAGCACACCGGTCCAGGATTCGTGCCATGTGGGATGCTTATTTAAAGTGAGCTCGTCGACCTGCCATCATGTCAGATTTCTTCCCTACCAGCATCATTCATTTGTGGACAGTGGACGTTGATCGCACATTGAACCAAACCAGCCGACCGATTGTCCTTCCTTACCTCATCACCATTTAACATCTTTTCATCATGAAGCTTTCCCTTCTCTCCCTTGCCACCCTGGCTTCCGCTGCCAGCCTCCAGCGCCGCAGCGACTTCTGCGGCCAGTGGGATACCGCCACCGCCGGTGACTTCATCCTGTACAACGACCTTTGGGGCGAGAGCGCCGGCACCGGCTCCCAGTGCACTGGAGTCGACTCCTACAGCGGCGACACCATCGCTTGGCACACCAGCTGGTCCTGGTCCGGAGGTAGCAGCAGCGTCAAGAGCTATGCCAACGCCGCTCTGACCTTCACCCCCACCCAGCTGAACTGCATCTCCAGCATTCCTACCACCTGGAAGTGGTCGTAAGTGGCTTGCTTTGTACCGAGCGGGGGAGAGACGCAACTGACCCGAATGGATAGATACTCCGGCTCGAGCATCGTTGCCGACGTCGCTTACGACACATTCCTGGCCGAAACCGCCAGCGGCTCGTCCAAGTACGAGATCATGGTCTGGCTCGCGGCCTTGGGCGGTGCTGGCCCCATCTCGTCGACCGGATCGACCATCGCCACCCCGACGATTGCCGGCGTCAACTGGAAGCTGTACTCCGGCCCCAACGGTGACACCACCGTCTACAGCTTCGTCGCTGACTCGACCACCGAGAGCTTCTCCGGTGACCTGAACGACTTCTTCACCTACCTGGTCGACAACGAGGGCGTATCTGATGAGCTGTACCTGACCACCCTCGAGGCGGGTACCGAGCCCTTCACTGGCTCCGACGCCAAGTTGACCGTCTCCGAGTACAGCATCTCCATTGAGTAAATCAAACGTGGAGTGTTACGGATGGCCGACCGTGTTGCGTGGACGGAGGCCTGACGGGAGACGGGTGGGGATGGTGGTGGGAGAGAATGTAGGCGCCGTGTTTCAGTCCCTAGGCAGGATACCGGAAAACCGTGTCGTAGGAGGTTTATAGGTTTCCAGGAGACGCTGTATAGGGTTAAATGAGACTCAACGGTGGCTACACTCAAACCAACCATATCCTGTACATACAATGCATATACAACTATACCTACAAACATACATACAACTGTGGTCCAAATTTGTCTACGGGTCTACTAGTTAACTACTACTAAGCTTAATTTGTTAGTCGGGCGGTTGGATTGAGTGTCATTGCTTCAGTTGTTTCAATTCTTCAACATCATCTAATTATAACTAACTTGCACCTGGCATGGCGATAAGAATAGCAGCATCAGACATCGAGCGGGCGCTTAAGTACGGCAGGTGCAGGTGCAGGTGCAGCAACTAACTAATTAGTGCAGCCGACGGCGTCATTTGGATCGTAGCTAGTGATTGAGTAGGTACTGTACGTACTTTCTTACCTATCCATCTCAGCTAAAGCTACTCCGTACACTCCAAGACACTTCCGCTCCTGGTAATGGACGGACAACCCTGAGCTCATTGGAATGACAGCCCTTCGTTGGCGCTCCTGTCTGGGCCATTCCCGACATTACCTAGGTACTCGAGTCTTCGACTGTCCACCAGTCAGTCGGATCTTCACGCGTGCCAGGATCGTGGCGTCGACGCGCTGACCTGCCAACCCTTGATTCCTGCACATCGTGGCTGCTCCAATCATTGCCGCATTTCAGGCTCGCGCGCGCCAAACCCCCGACGATCGGCCCTGCGTGAGCCATGCAGCTCATGACCATTCAACACTCTGTTGCAGGTGAAGAAGAAAAAAAAATAGTCAGTCAGGGCAATCAGTCATTCATCCACTCATCCCACTTCCCCCTCATGCATACTCTGCGCGTCGCCGTCCTTGCAGCGCCAGCCTTTTTTCGTTGCGCGCATACTCTGTCTCCTCTCCTCAAACCCACCCACCCCCTCTTCTATCCTGCACCACCCTAGGGCTTTCCCTTATATCAAGCCCTCTTCGCTGGCTAGTTCAATGTGCTCTCTTTTTTCGATATCGTCAACAGTTCCATTCCTTTTTCCACACCGGGGTTTTACCACTACTACCTAGATTAATCTCATCGTCTCAGTCGGTCTCTCTCTTTTACACTTTTCCTTCAGATACTTCCGGCATCCACTTCGTGTCTCAAAGCGTGTCTCAGTCCCGGTCACCCATCGCACTCCCATAGCGATCGCTCCCCAGCTACAGTTGACGCGACAACCACGCATTCCTCTCCTGCCGGCAGGACTGACGTACATTCATTCAGCTACTCTAATATATCCTCGACCACATCCAGTCGACTGTATTGCTTGCCACACAGAATAGTGTTCCTGTTTCTCTCCATTTACTTTGCTCTGCACGGTCTTTTCCACGATGACCGCTCATCCCTACCTAGCCTACTCCAACAGCACCCCCAACATGGTTTCCGCTGCAACGACGACGACTACGAGCACGACCATGGATCTCAATCGGGCAGCTCTACATGAATTCGTCATGCAGCCGGTGTCGCGGGGGATGGTTGCGCACTTGGCCGAGCAGGCCTCCCAGGTCATACGCTGCGAACCGCATGTGACGGCACAACATGCCCACGGACAGCCGACACCTCCCAGCACACCTCCCATGGATGCGACTTTACCACCACTCCCCTCAGTAGAGACGTTCATTGCTTCCCTGGTTGCTCGATCACAGGTTCAGGTGCCCACCTTGATGACCTCGCTGGTCTATCTGGCCCGACTGCGGTCCCGCTTGCCTCCAGTGGCCAAAGGCATGCGTTGTACCGTTCATCGCATCTTCCTCGCTTCGCTCATCCTTGCAGCCAAGAACCTGAACGACTCAAGCCCCAAGAACAAGCACTGGGCCCGGTACACGGCCGTCAAGGGCTACGATGGATTCGCGTTCCCTCTGCCTGAGGTCAACCTCATGGAGCGCCAGCTCCTGTTCCTGCTTGACTGGGACACTCGCGTCACTGAAGCCGACCTGCTGCAGCACCTAGAGCCATTCCTGGCCCCGATCCGCAGTCGCTACCAGCAGCAGCAGCAGCAGCAGCAGCAACAACAACAGCAGCGCGAAGTGGAGCGTCGCCAGTCCCGAGAGTGGCGTCGCTTCCACTCCTCCACAGATCTCCTGACTTCCCGCCTGCGCCGTCAGAAATTGGATGCTCGTCGACAAGTGGTGGATTCCGCCTATCAGCAATCCGAGCGACGGATGATGGCAGCCAGCCCGGCCTCATCGGTGTCTCTGTCATCCCTGTCTTCTGCATCGTCCGTTGCAAGCTCACAGAGCGCCTCTCCCGCCCCGTCGCTGATTGATGCTGCGGCCGACCGTTATCACCCATACCCGACTGGCCGCCGGCGTCCTACATCCCGTGGTCGGATGTCGGGCTCTCCTCCGGGCGTGCAGGATGTGCCCGGATTGTCACGAGCCGATACTGCAGCTTCCTTGAGCTCGCGGGCGTCCAGCCTGTCCTCCAGTTCACGCGCTGTCACTCCTGCGAGTCTCCGGAATTCCAGCTCGATCACCAGCTTCGAAGAGGCCGTGTCCGTGCGCGTGGTGGACGGTGGCCGCAGCCCCTCATCATATGTTGGTGACGGGTTGCCACTCGAGGAGTGCCTGCCGCCCGCGCAGCCCAGCAAGAAGATGCGTCTCGGCTATTCTGGACACGCAGCTCATCCCCACGGCCCCGCCCACCCGGTCGCCGCTGGCGGTCATGGGTTCGTGGCGCGCTTTCTCGCCACAGCCGCAGGGTCGTACATGGGCGGTCGTCGACACTAAACTTAGATCTCATTGAGCTGGTCTCGATGGTTCCTCCTACTCTGTTACATGATGATGTCTTAATGTTTTGTTCCGATCATTGATTTGCAAAAAGCACTTTGGGGGGGTTGCTCACCTGCCCCTGTTACGAACGATCTTTCAATACCCTGACACTCTTTTCCTTCTGCATTCCGCTGGAGTTGATCATGTTCCTGTTTCTTGAAAGTTGTATTTCTTTTCTTCTTTTTTTTTGGACAAGAGGTTCTGGCAATTATTTTTTTGGGTATTTATTTTGGCATTTGGTGTCTCAGAATGGATACGCAGGGCTGGATGGATATACACTCTGATTGAATCAGTTATGGAGTAAGTAAGTTGATTTTGACCGTATACTTAGCTAGTTAGTCACGAATATAATGGATAGGTTGGATAAATAATGGAAATCCCCGAAAGCGGCTATTTGTGGCTGTGCCTGTTTGGGCAACTCGTACTTTCTCCCCAAGTTGCCCTCGCCAAGGTACTTCAACCATGGAGGTGACCGGAAATAGCACAGCGCGGGCCAATGAACACGGGCCCGACCGAGACCGGCCAAGAGACCCGGGGTCGGATCGGCTTGGCGGGCACTCGGAGATGTCTTCCTCATGAGATAACAATCCGGTGGTTGTCTTTCCCCCATCAGCCACTTTTTGTGACCATGTGATCAGAAAGCAGCAGAAGATAAGGTCAATCGAAATGACAATCTATCTTATAATCTAATTTCTAGTCTACTCAGTTTGACCTTTGAATTTCGCTGTCTCCACGCTCGAGCCCTTCTCGGATCGGCTTGACACACGCCAATCACCAAAGCCGGAGGTGGAGCGCCGAGCAGCTGGGCTGGCGTCATCGCCTCCAGGCTGCGTCCGCCGAGCCCAAAGGGCTGACCCAATCCAATCCGCTTCCGGCCCGGTGTCAACATGCTTTGATTATCATCTTCCTCCTCCCCCTCCACTTCCCATCCTTCTGTCTCTCCTTCGCAAATCCCCCCCCCCCATCCTCACTCCCCCTCTCTACCATAATCCCTGCAAACTATTTACTCCATCCATAACTATAAGCCCAACTCTTTATCTCTCTTTTCTACTTTCTCCTCCTCCTGCTCTTTTCCCTCCCCCCCTCTTTCTCCTCCCTTCCTTTGTTCTCACTTTCCCGACCGAAGACGCCTTATCTTATCAGACGACTTTCTTGACTCGCACGCATGATGCCCCTCACCATCCTCTCCCAAGAGCAACTCCGTTCTCTCCTCCTCTCGCTCTCCCGCGATCAGATTGTCTCTCTCCAGGAGAACCTTGCCCGTGCGCTTCGTGACTACTCGACCGGCAGTCAAGAGAAAGGGTGTGCCGCCACTTACCAACCTCAACGCACGGCTATCACTCGGCCCGATGGCTGCACCACCGTGTTCATGCCCGCAAGCACGGGCCCCACGCTAGGAATGAAGGTGATTTCGCTACAAGACAAGAATTCCCAGGTGGGCTGTACTGTCGATGCTGCCTCGAAGATCTCCCCGAGCGACCGAACCGGCGTTTCTCAAATCGACAAGCGCAAATCCATGGCCTCAATTGCCTCCGACGTCAGCGAACTCTCCCTCTCCTCGCAAGAAGGCACCTCAACTAGCAACTCCCTGACCATGACGAGCAGTGGTGGCAGTGGCAGTGGCAGTAGTAGCAGCAAGTCGCTGGCGGCGGGCTGCGTCAATCAACAACCGGTCGCTGGCGGCTTATCGAAGACGATGGGGGCCTGGCCCAGTGCGGGCAGCCGGGATACCTCGCCCCAAGGAAGCGTCACGCTACTGGACGGCAACAGCCTGCCCTTCGGATTGATCAACGCACACGAATTGACGCCCTTCCGGACTGCTCTGACCTCCCTCATGACGCTCAACAAGCGCAAGCGGGTGCGGACCATTGTGGTGTTCGGGGCGGGGAAGCAAGCATACTGGCACATCCGGCTAGCGCTGGTCCTCCGTAGCGCGGACGTCAAGCGGGTCTACATCATCAACCGATCGTTTGACCGAGCGGCGCAGTTGCTCCGGGACATCTACTCCCCGGAGAACTCGAGCTGGCGCGGGGATGTGAAATTCTCTGCCGTCAGTTCCGACTTTGTGGAATATCCCCGCATCCTGCATGACGCGTTGCGGAAAGCCGACGCGATCTTCTGCTGCACCCCGGCCGTGGATCCGCTGTTCCCCGCCGAAATCTTGACGGCCCGTGAAGGCCGCCAGAAGGGTCGGCTGATCAGCGCGATTGGATCGTACAAACCACACATGACGGAACTCCCGCCGGATTTGCTCCGCGACGAAGTGAGCGTGCACACTCCGGGCCATCGTCACTTCCACAAGCATATCAAGCGCAGTGGCGTAGTGGTGGTGGACAGTCTTGACGCCGCCCTCAAGGAGGCAGGCGAGATTGTCCAAGCGGGGATCAAGCCGCACCAGGTGGTCGAACTGGGTGAACTGTTGATTGTGCGCGAATCTTCGCATGGGGACGCTGACAGTGACGACCACAAGAGTCTGCGCGAGTGGGTAGAACGGGGCAATGTGATTTTCAAGAGCGTGGGGATGGGATTGATGGACTTGGTGACTGGTGGAGATTTGATCCAATTGGCACGTGAGAAGAATATTGGTACGACGATTGCGGAATTCTAGCGAAATGATATCCAATGATGACTTGGTTTGCTGTTTGTTTATTTCCCTTTGCCTTTTTTTTTTTC